TTAGATTTGAGTTTAAATTTTTATCATAATTTCCATTTTAGAAAATTTATCAGTTAACTATGCTGAAGTACAGATAGGAAATTTTTTGACTATAAATGATTATGCTTATGTTTTTTAAAATTACAGTATATTTTTTCTTTATTTATGAGCCTGCAATCTAATAAATTTTATTACAAAAATGTTTGCATAAGCTTTTTATAATTAATTAATTAAAACTTATTTTATAAAATAAAATTAAGTAAAAAATTTAAATACTAGTATTTACTGTTTCTTTCAGAATATCAAGTCAGTATGTTTGACAGCACAAGTAGAGAGAAAAGGTAAAGTACTTGCTATTTAAAATCTTTATTTTTATTGCTTTTTTCATAAACTTTTTGAAAGCTCTAATAATAGAATAAGAAGTTTTGTTTTAGTAATCAAGAAAATATTTAGTATAAATATATTTGAATATTTTTTAAAAAATTATTATTTATTAGTTTTATTAGAATCAATAATAATCTGTTGAAAATATTCCAATATATAATAAAAGCATAATAATGAAATTATATGTTTCAGATGGAATGTCACATTTTTTGATTACTCTTCACATGTTTCACCTGACAATAATGAAAATTATGGTAAGTTAGGTATAATGTAAAAATAATTTACTTTATAAATTCTTATATATGTAAATATATATATATATATATATATTTCTTTAGTGTCCAAAAACTTGGACACTAAAGAAATAACAGCAAAACTCGAAGTTGCCCAGAGATCAATGGAGTGAAGCATACTAGGAATAACCAAGAGAGATTACAAAAGAATAGAGTGAATTAGGCAGAAAACCCAGGTAACTGATGTGATCCAGAGAATTAAATCTCTCAAATGACAATGGGCAGGACATCTGGCAAGAAGGACTGACAACAGATGGTCTACAAGAATTATGATGTGGTATCCACAGGGAATCAAGAGACCCAAACTTAAGATAGGACTATGACATAAGGAAACAAGTAGGCACAACATGATGGAGAGAAGCAAATGATAGGCAAACATGGGCACAAATAGAGGATGATTATGTAAGGGAGGCTATACCGTAATTTGAAATGGTATAATTAGAATAAGCTGATGCTGATGATGATGATGTATATATATATAATATATATATGTTTTAATTGTCATTGGAAAAAAATCTATGAATTCTAGTGTAATGCAAAATCATCAACTAAGTCAGTCAGTGGCAGTAAGTCAGATAAATTATTAAATAGGATGTTGCTTTATTAACTCAAGGTATATAGACTACAAAGGCACTAGATGTACAGTACATAAAACATGCAGTTGAATCTACCACTATCTTTAGTGTAACCCAAGGGTAAGAGAATGGGTCTAAACAAAATGGTCTCTTGTGTGTGTGTCTGTGTCTGTGTAAACAAAGTGTTGTATAGCACTACCTGGCGACAACAAAATTTGAACCTCAAGTTAGAAAATATACAGTAAGACCCGCGTAACGTGGGAGAAGCATTTCTAGACGACAAAGCACTAAACGAAACAGTGTTAAACAAGGTCATTTTAACATAGAGTAAATAGGGATAGGGGAACATGTGACCAAAAATAAACAAATGTTACTTTAATTTTAAGTTATTTTTGTATTAATTTGTATAATAATATATGTTAAATAACACATAAACATATGCACACAGAAATGTAAAGTTCATTTTTTGTGATGAAGGTTCTGACTTTTCTGAAATTCTTGTTTATTTGCAATGAAGTCATGAAGTTTCATTTGTCACTTTTTTCTTTCCTTAAGTAAATGCCAATAGCAGGAGATCGCATCCAAAGCGCCTCGTTTTGCTTTTGCATTCCTTTCAAAATCTGGATCATTCGCTACAATTTGATCAACAATTTCAGTTATCATTACCAAATTTTTACTAAGGAAATCTGTAGAGAAATTATTTGGATTCTTTGTTTTCAGAATCTCTATTTTCCAGTTCTATGTGAATTCCTTGCTCTGCCAGTTCTTAAAGGTCGTCGTTGGTAAGGCTCTGACCAGAAACCTGTGGTAACTCCTCAATATCCTGCTCGTCTACATCTAGACCTGCTGTATCAATTAGGTTGACAATTTGGTCAACCTAATGATACAGCGATAGGCTCTTCTCGTTGAGAATTCTTGGATATCTTCAGCCATAACTTCTTCCACAGTTTGTTCATGCATTTATCAGTTAATTCTTGCCAAGTGAAGCCAATATTGCCTATGGCATCCATGATGTTATATTTTTTCCAAAATTGCACCAAACAAACAAATGCAAATGTCCAAATTTTAAAGTAACGTTTGATATAGATTTAAAGAAAGTACACCTTTTTGCTACCTTTTGCTGATTGTTTTGTGTTTGCAAATAATCGTATTATATACGAATCAATGAAATGCCGCAATAATATAAATTGGAGTAAATTTTAACCTATTTTTTAGGCTTCAAGCAGACCACATTATATCGAAATCAGCATTAAGTGGGGTCTTACTGGACTTTAATTCTGTAGTAATATAGTTTAATAAAGATTGAGTTGCAGTGGAACAAAGTGGAAGACAGTAATTCATTAGTGACCAAAAAATGAAAAAAAATGTAAATGGATTTGGAAGAAATTGAATGATAAAATTTTAACTTTAAGCCACATTGAATGGATAAATCATTTTATTATTATTTTTATTTGAGATTTATAAGTCAACTATCAGATATGAATCCAAAATTATTAAGTATTAAGCTTATGAGATATTATTAACAGAAAAGAGATGAAATTCAGATTAAAGAAAAATATATTGTTACTGTTTTGTTGGTGTTAATTTTTAAATATAATGTAAAAATTAAAACTAACAGTTTAATCTTTCAATTATACATCTTTTGATACTGTAAGAATAATTTAAGTAGACTTAGAATGCAAATGTCCAAATTTTAAAGTAACATTTGATATAGTATTAAGAAGAAATTACCATAATTTCCTGCATGTGACCTGCAATTAGCATATAAATCAACAAAAATTATTAGTATGCATATCTTGAATCTGTTTTTAAATAAATTTTAAAACATATATAATCTGCTGATTATATTCAGAAAATTATGATACTTTAAAATTATTTGGTTGATAAGAATTGAAATAAAATTTTTAAAATGAGAAATTTTTTTAAAAATTAGATTTGAGTTTAAATTTTTATCATAATTTCCATTTTAGAAAATTTATCAGTTAACTATGCTGAAGTACAGTTAATGTAATATCTTTATTAAAAAATTAATTTTTAACATTAACAGTACGTAATATAGATGTAATTGGATAGAGAATATAGCCTATCTTCATAATTAATTTTATTTAAGAGTTAAATCTTAAATGAAGTAATTTCATTTTATAAATATTTAATTTCTGTAAATGTTAACTTTATGGAAAAATTTTAAAATAATTCATTGTTTGTTTTAATAATTTATTATACACTATCATATTAAAATTTTTACTATATTATTTTTAGGTTTTGCTCATTTCTCATCTAGTGCAGGAGGAAGAATATTAACACTGGATAGAATTAATGGTAATTTTAATTAACATATGAAATAAGATAAATAACATGAAATCCACCAAATAAGTTTGCCACTGTTGCCAGTTTACATTTGGTTATAATATGATTAATTAATAATTAGAAATAAATTAAAATTAAATTAAATAATTTAGAATTTTCTGGGAGAAAAGATGAAATCCACATCTACGTATCTTGCAGATGTTTTATCAGTTACACTATCGGGATTTCTGTGTAATCTTTGCTTTCCAACTATAATTAAGTAAAACCATATAAGCATACAGGTTAATTGCTATGCCAGACATCTTACATCCATAGCTTTTCATGACTAATTACAAGCTTTACTGGTTTGTGTGTGTGTGTGTGTGTGTGTGTGTGTGCGCACCATGCCAACCATATTGTGTGTTGCCATGCCAACCATATTTTACACACATACAATATGTATGTTGTAAAAGCTCTAGTTTCCATGTTGCCTCATGTTATATGAACATTTTATAGAAAAGCAACATCATTCAACAAAAGAGGCAGGATTCTTAAACCAGAAATATTACTTCTGAATTATTTAATTTGATTTAACCTAATTTATTTTTAATAATTAAATTTAATACAAGATGATGGCCTAACTGCCTATCTTTTGGCCAAATTATTTTATTTAATTGTTAATTAGTCATGTCATAGACAATAGACTGGTGAATATTATTTGAATCATGCTGTTTGTTTGAATACATTAGAATATGAAATTTTATAATATTTGCTTAATGAATTTAATGATTTTTTTTTCATATAATTTTGTAATTAGGTTTTTAGGCAAGTTAAACTCTTAAAACCAAAGCAATTCAATAAATTAATGGATATATCATCATTCAAATATCTTGAAAATCACATTTAATATTGATTATTCATACAAGTCTTTTTTTATTTAATGCTATTCTCTAAAAATAGTAAAATTTTTTATACGTTTATAGTAGGATTTAAAAAAGAAATGATTAATTAGGTTGACAATTTGGTCAACCTAATGATACAGCGATAGGCTCTTCTCGTTGAGAATTCTTGGATACCTTCAGCCATAACTTCTTCCACAGTTTGTTCATGCATTTATCAGTTAATTCTTGCCAAGTGAAGCCAATATTGCCTATGGCATCCATGATGTTATATTTTTTCCAAAATTGCACCAAACAAACAAATGCAAATGTCCAAATTTTAAAGTAACGTTTGATATAGATTTAAAGAAAGTACACCTTTTTGCTACCTTTTGCTGATTGTTTTGTGTTTGCAAATAATCGTATTATATACGAATCAATGAAATGCCGCAATAATATAAATTGGAGTAAATTTTAACCTATTTTTTAGGCTTCAAGCAGACCACATTATATCGAAATCAGCATTAAGTGGGGTCTTACTGGACTTTAATTCTGTAGTAATATAGTTTAATAAAGATTGAGTTGCAGTGGAACAAAGTGGAAGACAGTAATTCATTAGTGACCAAAAAATGAAAAAAAATGTAAATGGATTTGGAAGAAATTGAATGATAAAATTTTAACTTTAAGCCACATTGAATGGATAAATCATTTTATTATTATTTTTATTTGAGATTTATAAGTCAACTATCAGATATGAATCCAAAATTATTAAGTATTAAGCTTATGAGATATTATTAACAGAAAAGAGATGAAATTCAGATTAAAGAAAAATATATTGTTACTGTTTTGTTGGTGTTAATTTTTAAATATAATGTAAAAATTAAAACTAACAGTTTAATCTTTCAATTATACATCTTTTGATACTGTAAGAATAATTTAAGTAGACTTAGAATGCAAATGTCCAAATTTTAAAGTAACATTTGATATAGTATTAAGAAGAAATTACCATAATTTCCTGCATGTGACCTGCAATTAGCATATAAATCAACAAAAATTATTAGTATGCATATCTTGAATCTGTTTTNATACGAAATTTTCAGGATACGACATGAAATTCGAACATATTTTTGCTCCACGATACGAACAAAAACTCACCATACGACGTTACATTAGTTCGCATTTTTCATTTGTTTTTCTTACTACAGTTATTTTTTTAAATGTATTACTTGGCTTTAATTTGAGTATGTTTTTCGCGTTGGAATGAATTATTTGGTTTTACATGTAATCGTATGGGAAAAGATGATCCACCTTACAACATTTTCATGATACGATCTCAGTTTCGGAACGGATTAATTTCGTATCCTGAGGTACCACTGTACATATAATTTATTTGTCTACAAAATACTACTATTTTCTTATGTTAAAAAGTTCAATTATATGATGATACATATTTTTTATACGTGTTTAAAATTTTATAAATACATTAAAGGTATGAAAATAAATTTATTAATACTTAAAATAAAATTAGTTTATAAGTTTTAGGGTTTTTTCTAGTATTATTAAATTATAGACATTATTTATATAGTTCTTTTAAAAGAAACAAGAAGTTTGGTGACACACAAATTAGACTTTGCAACAGGTAAACTCCCACTGTCATCTGACTGATTAATCAAACTACTGTTAACTTATTATTACTTAAATTAAAGTTTGAAATTATTAGATTTTACATTTACAGAATAGAGAATTTTCATAGTGGACAATTACTTGAAGAAAAGTTGTTGGAGATTAGAGCAATAGTTTTTGAAAAATATGAATCATCTGTGCTAATAAAAGTTTTTTTATAAATTTTTTAGCTGGTGGCAGTCCATGAAGTGTTTGCATAACAAAAGAAGAGTTGTTACAAACAAAGTTATCTGAGAAAAGACTATGAGATATTCAGGCATGCTTAGAAGCAAATGCAAAAATTCTTAAAGGCATTTATCTCAAGACTTGATCATTTTATTGTTCTGTTTATATAACTATGAAAATAATCAAATTCTGGCCTTGTAAAGGATGTTATGAGCTTATTTTTTATTCAATGTTCATAATTTAAGTATTTCTGACAATACATAGCAGAACAATAACACTCAGCATTGTCAATTCTGGTTTGTCTCATCAAGCTTCTTATATTACTACTTATGACTAAATTTTTCATTTATTTAATGCAAATAAAATACAATTTTATATCTTATCTTAATGTATTTTTAAATATTAAATATAAATAAAGTAATTAATTTAATATTGAAAGGAATATAAATAATTTAATAATTATTTTAAACGAAAATCAATTTTTTAAAATACTTCTTAAAATATTAAAAAACTTCAAAGGTTGATACAGAAGACAACTTGTGTTTTTTAGCTATAACTGCATTTTATCAGAGACAAAACTACTAAGGATTACAACCATTAGTTTTTATTACATTACAATGCATTTCATGTGCAAAAAGTTTGTTACACATGCACCCCTCTTCAGGCAGAGTCGGTAGATTAACTGGTCTTTCGACTTCCTATCTTCGCTCGTTGCTAGAATCAACTAGAGACAAATGTTACCACCAGGGGCACTGCAATCACTACAAGACCGCTAGATCGAATCCCTGTGAGGTCGAATGTTTTCTTTTTATTGAAAGATATATAACCTTCGAGTTCGATTTCATAATTTTTTATATGCATTTTATTATAAGAATGAAAAAGCTTTTATTTAAACCCAAAACCAGGTTTATGGATAAATAAATGACACTTAATAAAACATTAAACACCTTCCATCGCTGAGAAATGTTTATTTAATAAAACACTAACATTTTCAGCCTCATGGAATAAACTATCCTCAGGTGTAAATGAGTTCGAACGTATTTTATTAAATAAACATTTCTCAGCGATGGAAGGTGTTTAATGCTTTATTAAGTGTTTTAAAAACGCTGAGTTTTATATTTAGTTAAATAAATGACAAGGAACAAAACTGACACAATAGTATTATTATTATTAAATTGTGCTATTATGTGAATTTATTATACGTTAAAAATTTATTGTACATACAAACAAATTATATTATACATATTAATAATAATAATTATTATTATTATTTGCGTTATTAAAATTTACTTTAAGTGAGAAATTTTTCTATGGTTTTTACTTTCAACTGATGAAATAAATGATTGATTAATCGTTCGCGTGAAAAAATGCAATCGACAAGTAACAAAAAAGTGCAAAAATCTGGAAGTCAAGTAGGACTTGTGACCAGCATTGTCACATCCTATCATCAATGTAACAGAGCACTGATTTAATATATTATCCATTATTGAAAAATAAACATCCATGTTTGGGTTTGTTAATTTTTCGCATACTTTGCTTTCTGCCCAGTACATCAATTGGCAAAGCTTATAGCTTGGATATAACAAACCTCCTCGAGATTTGATGAATGTAAATGTCTTCTCTGGTGCAGCATCCTCAGGTTTTGCTGTTAATATATTTTTGCATTCATCACAACCGAGTGATGGCAGTAGACGATAAATAATATAACCTCCTAAATAATGTAGGATAAACTTAAATGTTTCTGGTGTACAATAATCATGATCTAATAATTCACTATCACTAGGATCTCCATAGTATAAACTTGGATCACAAACAAATTTTCTAAATGTTCTTCCAATTGTTCTTGAACTTCTCTGAATGGTTTTTTATGACTATGAAGAAGATTTTTTAAAGTAATAAGCATAGATCCTGGATCAGTTTGAACTGATGCTCGTTTGGGAGGACGAACCAAACTGTAAACAGTCATCAGTCTGTACAGGTATAAGAACTGTACTGTTGTGGGATGAGAATTGCTTCCACTTCCTTGTCTTATCATTCCAAAGAAACGCTAATTGAAATGAAAACATAAGTTAAGGTTTAATACAAGATTATATAATCATTACACTAAGTCAATTTTACCTCTAATGGGTCCTGATTAAAGTGAGCTGTCAGGATATAATATGAGTTTGGAAGCAATTGTCTGACGAGTGCTAAGATACTAGTCAGCGTCAAGCGTAGATTTTCTGCTGTCTGGTGGCTCAAAAATCCCTTTTGATCAGTGCTTCTAATCTGTAATCTGAATGCTTCCCATCTATTTAACCATTCTAGAGATTCTTCAATAACCTATTTTTAAAAAGTTGTTAATTAAAACATTTATAGTTTTTGCTAGTGAATCATTACTATTACCTTGAGATCATTTGAATCATGTCTGATTCCTTCCTGTGGCAATCTACGATTTAAAGCATCAAAAAGAGCATTGATGTGACGTATGAAACTTATTGTAACATCTGCATTCTTTAGGATAGCAACCTCACGCTGTTTATAAAACAGCATAGCATCAGCAAAAGTATTACTAAATATCTATAAATATATGAGATAAATAAAAGTATTCTTATCAAGTCAAGATTATATAAGTAAAAAAAAGTGTTACTTGAGCTGCCAGCAATACACTCATTCTCTGGAAGTTATTGGGATTAACATGTATTTCTGTCACTTTGGGACATGCCTTTAATCCCTTTGGTAATTTGGAATCTTCATCAACAACTGCTTTAAAATGCTGTAATTCTACCCTTCCTTCAGGAAACTAAAAGTAAAAATGCAGAATAATGCAATGGCTTATATTATAAATTAGGTGAAAACACTTTATTTTCTTAGTTTTACCTGAAAGTATGTATTTTTCAAAAGATTGTTTCGCATACATTTTAAAATATGTGGTACATCAATAATAGCCAGTACTTGTCTATCTGCAGCAGGGTTTGTAAATGAGCATTGTATATTATTTGTGTCTGCACAAATTCCTAGAGCTTTTAAAGCTGCTTTGTTTGTGCTGGCACCATCACAAACTATTGCATTGACTATTGCACCACACTGTTCTAAATGAATAATTGCTTGCAAAATAAGTTTTGCAACAGTAGAACCTGGGACAGAGCTTTTTGAACAGAATGTGCCAATACATTGTACCCAACTAGCAAAGTGAGGTCTGAACATAAACACTAGGCCATGATCACCTGCTGTAAATTCACTCTGTGGCAATTCAGAATTGTCACCATAATCAACAAGTCCAATCATTTCACCAGTAGCTTTTGAAAGTTCTATATGTTTTTGAAGTGTGATTTCATCAAAAATTAAAACTCCCTGGCGTTCTGTTTGTGGAATTGTCTCCAATTTTGTCTTTAAAATAACAAAAAGATCTTCATCAAATCCAAATTTGGCATTAATGCCTCTGATATATTGATGCAGTGTAGACTGACAGGGTAAAGGCAAGTAATCATTATTTCTCAAAAATTCATAGAGAGATGGTGACCTAATTTTTAAAAGTAAACAGTCAAGTAACCAATTAATGTCATATCTCATACCCTTTTTGCTTTTTATATGGCATGCTTTCAGCATGTGCTCTATTATAAGTTTCTGTCTTGGTGGTAAGGAATCAAGTTTATCAGCTGACAACTGTTTCATTTTAAGTTCAGTATTTTCTTGATGAAGCTTGAGATTTTCTGTTTGAAGGGTTTTCAGTTTCTTCCTATAGATCATCTTTTGCTTTCTGCACCGATATAAATCCTCTTTGACTTTTAACAATTCAGACTGCAAAGCAGAGATTTTATTGACATATAACAGCTCAGGATGCTGTGTAGTTGCTGCTTCAGATGTGGAGGGTTCTTCTACTTCCTTTTCTACAGTTGTTACTTGGGAGTGTGTATCATGCAAATCTAATGATTGATAAAAAAAAATATCAGACAATTAATCTTAAAGTATTTATAAGGAAAGATGGGCCACAGAGAGATAACCCTCAGTGAATCACAGTGGATCTCACAAACCCAGCTCAATCTTTACTTAATTTTTAAATATAAAATGTTCCTTAAATATAGATAAAATAGATAGATAGATAAAATTTAATTTTATATTAAAACACAGGGTCCGAGAGACGCACTGCAACTCAGGCAAGGGCAAAAAATTACATGACTCACTGAGGATTAAGATTACATAAAAACCATAAATAGTTACCTTTGGTATTGTCTTTTTGTGATCCCTTCCTAGATGGTTCTTCATTTCTTGTGAGACATCGCGTTGATCGTTTTTGAGGTACAGACCTACTAATGTACTTAGGACAATTAGGGAAGTTTGATGGATATGCATCCGACGTTAATGCCCAGCGATCTCGTGGAATTTCTACTTTCTCTCCATTTATAACATGAGAGAAGGTTTTTAAAATAAATCTACTCGCAAAATGTACGTCACAAACGTAACATTTATTTGTTAGCATCTTGTCGTCTCGTGGAATGCATCGCATCCACTCCTCAATCTTATCGCTAGGAGCACGGAAGAAATGTCTCTTCTCGTTCGATGACTTATATCCTGCCTTGCATCCTGGCACAAAGCACGTTGGCATTTTTATGGAGCTAAAAAAACAATTATTATAGGTCAAAATCACTGACTTCAGTATATACCTAGCAAGAACAACGATCTCCTGCTAACAGTGGCGCCGACTAGCGGCAAATATTGTCTCTAGCTAAGTTTGAACTATTAGTCGAAAGACCAGTTAATCTACCGACTCTGCTTCAGGTAATACATAACTCTTTTGCTAAAGCATACAGTGGAGTATTTTTAAAGATTGATTTTTTTTAAAAATATATAAAAAAAACCATACCATAATTATATATATATAACTGTTACTTATACAAGTTAATAATAATTTTTAGAAATTTTTATTTTATTCTTTAATATTTTTGCTAAATATTAAAAGAATAATTCTTTCTTTTTATTTTGTATTAAATATAAAACAACTTAAAACCTTTAGTTTTAATTATTTAGCATTTGTATATTTAATTAGCCAAAATGTAGCTTGATAATAAATCTGACTTGATTATTTGATTATATTTTGGTTTGGTTTCCTATATCATTGCAATATTGAAGTTTACATTAGCTGGATTCCTTTATTAATTGAAGTAAACATGAATGAGCAGTATTTTTTAACCTTTTTCTAACAGTTGATCCCGACTTGGTAACTTTTTTCTCACAGCATCCCTATTTCTTTATCAGTGTAGAGTTAGTTATAGCACATTTTGTACTTTTAATAATATAGGTAAGAAAATTGTATAGTGCTGCTCAGCATTATATTTCACAATACTCCTAAAAGGTTACTGTAGTGCCCTAGTTGACAATCACTAAGTCACAATAAGATTAACATTAAACCAATCAAAAGAAGTTTTAAAAAGTTATTCTTAAACTATCAGTGCTTGATATTTGAAGATTATTCAAAATGGATAAAAATGACTATTTCTAAGAGTTTTAAAAGATAAAATATAGAAAAAGTCTTTGAGCTAAAACACTCAATTGTCACTGATTTCGAGGTAATGAATTATGACTTTAAACAGTTAACAATAAAAAGATATTTATTTTACTCTGATTGCTTTTCCATTTTCTTATCCATATGCATTTGCCTTCTTTTTTTGGCCTCATTATTGGATAACAATGCTCGTTTTACATTGGTGCTTTTATACTGTACAAAATCAGCATGCATCTAATGACATTCCATTATTTAAATTTATATTATTTACATATTTTAGTGTACTGCAGTGTTCTTATATTAACATCTAATTATATTATTTTCTTTATACAATATTTTTATATTATTTCTATTAATTTTATTAACATGTTTGTTGCAATGTTGGAACAAAAGAGATTCTTTATTCTTTAATTGTATTGCTGCTTCATATTCTTTTAGTCTTTCTTCCAGCTTCAGTTTTGTCTCACCTAAGTATTTGGTTGAGAATACACATGGGAGTTTATATATTACTCCTGCTACATCCAGTTGCTGATTTTTTTTCTTTGTTATAAACAAAATTTAATGAATTTGATAACCTTGTTTTTTGTGATGGGATGATGAGTGTAGAAACATTATTAAATTTACTTTTATATTTTTCATAAAAACTATTTATATGGGACATATTTTTTAGTTATTTTCTTATTGATCAGTGAAGATTATTCATTGATCAATATTTGAAAATGAAGGCAAGATTTTTAAGAAATATTGCTATGTAAATTATAGAGACTTCTAGAATTAATAATTTATGAAATACTGTTGTCTTTTGTATTTGTACATTTTTCTGTATATGAGGAAAATAAAAATAATTTTATTATTTTTAGTCCTGCTTTATATATTGGTGAATATGCACATGGGTTATATGCTCTTCCTTCTCTAATTGATGAAAAGCAAGCTGTTATAGTGGTAAGTAAATAAAAGCTGTTTTATAAAATCATTTTGAAATATTTTAAGTAATAAATAAACACATTAATTTATGAATATATGACACTGCATCCTAACATCTTTAGTCTACAGATATGTAAGTATTTTATAAATTTGATATTAGATAAAATGGTGACATTTAAAGAATTGCTTTCAGATTAAAAATTTTAAAAGTATACAATGTAAAGCTTATTGTAAATTCCAGTAATATTTTTTCAGAAGAAAGATGAAAGTTATTCACAAATTAAATTATAACTTATCTAGTTTGAAACTTATTTATTTTTNTTATAACTTACATGATATTAATGTTGTAATATGATGTAGGGTATATAGATTGCTAGGACTTCTTATAACATTTTTATGACTTTATTTTAAAAAATAATGCAAATAAAAAAGTTCTTGACACTAAATATAATATTTTGTTTTTTAATATTTTTTCTAAAATAAGGACATCATTTTCTGCACCTAATGAAAAAATGGGAAAATTCTCCATATATAAAATTTCAATTATAAGAATGAGAAAAATTAATTGAAATATGGGATTTATTAAATATTTAAGAGAATAATGAAATATATAAAGAATCTAATAAATTAGTCTTTATTAAAATTCAAAATTAAATAATATAAATTGGAATAATTTGAATATTGTCTCTGTTTTTATGATCATGATTTTAATTTAATTGCTAATTTTTTAACTTTTTATTAGATACGTGAGCCATTACTACTTGAAGGACCTGATAGTTCCTCAGATAAAACAATTCATCCTTCCTTACTTAATAAAGTAAATCAATTTGAAATTCCATTGATATTAGAAGATAAATATTCAATGCATCACCAAAATTCCCGTGATGTACTATTACTAGGTATGTTTTTAATTAATATAGTTTTAAATATATAAAAATATAATGTTCATATACATGGGTTTGTCTGTGTCATTATGTAAGGTTGCCAACTTTTAGGACAATAAGTTAATTGCGCGTCAGGAAAACCTAGGGGCGAATTGTATGTGGGTGGTGGTGGCAGAGGCAATGATGACAAGTGTCTTACAAAAACCCATTTATTTTGACATGAAGTTAACTTACATAATATAAATAAACAATGCGATCTAGATCGGCTTGATAGCAGTGATCTCCGGTTGTCGGTGGTTGGATGCAGTCCATGATCCGAAGATGCAAGCCCCAGGGCTTGGATGGCACAGTGTCTATTGCACCAGAGGTGATACTGGGACGGGAGTGATTTACTGGCAGATGACGGTTCTGGATCTGCGAGATGGCATTTGTCCAGAGGAGAATCGACTCGTCCTTGAGATTTGGGGGTTTTATAGGATTTTCCTCGAATATCACCCTTTTGATTGGTTCCGTTCATCCTCTCCCTTACCCTGATTGGTCATTCTTTTGTCTCTAGGTGAAACCCAAGACTGATCCAGATTGGGAAAGGTCAGAGAGGTGATAATGGAGCTTTTAAAGTCCACGTTATGGCCCTTTTCTCTGACATCTTTGAACCTAAACAGTCCACCAGATGTCCACCAGACCTGTGGAATTTACCCCCTAATGCGTTTGGGCTAAACAGATGTGCCTTTAGTCATTAAACCCCCCCTTTCCTTGATTGTTTCAACCCGACACTTGTTCGTGAGCATTTCGACAAAGCTCTCTCTCTCTGTCAACATTCCCCCTTGCCATTTATCATCATGTTGCGTTTGTTTTACAATAAGTAAGAAAGTTTTCTTCTCGTCTGGGTTTTGTTACCAACTCACCCTCTTGACCCAATTTGATCTTTGAAACTCTCTGACTTAGGCGTTTTGTAATTAGTCGAAATTTTGACGCACTTTTACAACCCTCACAATTAGGTATATTTTAGAAATCCTAGCTCTCATTTGCTAAAGAATTGAAACTCTTCTGATCTATAAAACATTTATTAAGTTGAAAAGAGAAAAATTTAGAATTCAAAAGATTATATAAAGATAGTGAAATTAGAATAAAAATGTGCCAGATTGAAAATGATTTCGTTTTGTCACTAGTGGTTGTTTTAATTATAACTTACATGATATTAATGTTGTAATATGATGTAGGGTATATAGATTGCTAGGACTTCTTATAACATTTTTATGACTTTATTTTAAAAAATAATGCAAATAAAAAAGTTCTTGACACTAAATATAATATTTTGTTTTTTAATATTTTTTCTAAAATAAGGACATCATTTTCTGCACCTAATGAAAAAATGGGAAAATTCTCCATATATAAAATTTCAATTTTGTATTTTATTTTATTTTTTTTCTTTTTTATTTCCAACTCTCAAAAAACAAATGTGTCAGAGACTTTTGAATCAATCTACATAAAAACTTGAGTACAGTCTGTCATAACAGATAAGATTTCATACACATTGACAAATAACACAAGATTACATATATTATAGACTTAGTTATTCTAGTCAACATTCTACACAACATCCAAAATACATGTATTGAAAAAAATCAGTAAGAACTCACCCATGAAATAAAGTGCCTGTGGAGAATAGATAAGGTAATTATCATGTCTTAATTCTTTCTAGCAGTGCAAAAAATACATCATATCACATTCACTGCACAAAATTCTAGAAAATTAAAGCTTCACAACATTACAGAAATTACACTATAAAAAACTGCTATACTAAACACATCATGTGGTCAGAAAATTCTTAAACACACACACACACACACACACACACACACACGAACAACATTACAGAACAAACTATTATTTACTTATGCAGTGATTTTTGTCTGGTATGGCATTAGGCACCAGTATATGAACCAAATAGGATGCAGTTTACACTATAATAATAATAATGTGCAAAGTATTAAAGATAGTCAAAAAGTTTAATATGATGAATATAAAAATTATTTTTTATTTCAAATTCTATTTATACTGTTATAAACAGAATTTGAAATTTTATGTGATTTTATTTGAAACTGTAAATTTGTAAAATGAACATGAGAGAGAGAGTGGGGAAAAACTTTGATAATCATTCTCTGTACGTTTTATTAATTAACTTCTGTTATTTTGTGTGTGCTGCTGTATGTGCTATAAATGTTATTAATAAACAACATTTATAGTACATTAAAATAAGCAAGGATTTTTTTGTAACTGATTTTAAAAGATCTTGGATTATAAAATTAATTTAAATTAACACTGTTTTATATATTAATATTAATTATAAATTATGCTGTCTGTATTATATTTCTTGATGGAAAATGGCAGTTATAAAAATTATAAAGAAGTTAATTTAATCTTTGTTAATTGGAAATGTTATGGTTAATAAAAATTTGAATTACTAATATTTAATTATTCAGAATTACCTAGACTTATTTATTTTTTTTAATAAGTATGGAGAGACTTTTACTGAAATGTTTTAGATTTTTAAATTTTTTGAATTTTAAAATTTATTTTTATTTTAAAAATATATTTTAGGTTATCACAATTTACCAGAAAATTTTGCCACAACTATTACACCTCTTCTACAAATAACTGGAAAACCAGATCCAACAGCAACTATTATACCTGATAGATTGCCTTTGAGAGGAGAACATGAAAAGAGACCATTGAATACTGTTAAAGAAAATGTAAAGAATAAAAAACATGGGAAATCATCTAAGCAAAAGAAACCTTCAAATCAAATACCACCACCATTTGATATTCATAATAATAGAGTCTATAAAGACAAGATTAGTAATTTAGATCTCTACTCTCAACTGAATAATGTTTCCAGTTGGATTCAGATACCTCTTATACTGTTTTTGTGCTGCACAACTGGCTTAGTTGTATATTATCGAGTAAGTTGAAAGTATAAAATTATCATTAATTACTAATTTTATAAAAATATTAAAAATTATTAAGTATGAAATGTAATAGCTGTAAATTTGATAGTTTTATTTTATATTCTTTATAAGCAGTAGTTAGATTTAGTATTGATAAATTAACAATTTTTTAAATTTAAGAATTAATCTAAATCATAAATATAACTGTAATTTCTTATGAAGATTGGAATACAGATAAAAAAAATACAATACAATAAATACATTGTTTTAAATCATCATGAAATAATGCCATTTTCTTATAGAAGCTTACTATGTTTTTCAAAATAATGAATACTGTTCTACTTAAAATTAAACTTAAATTAGAAATTAAAATTTAAGTTTTTATACATATGTACGGTGTATATCATAGAGTATTGTAAGTATTTAACTAAAACAGAAACGGTAAATTGAGTCCAGTCAGGATCAGTTCTGTCCAAAAAAATTTCATATTTCTTACATCGTATATTGTGGTCATAGACAAGATTCAGAATGATCATAGACCTGATCAGAATTCACATATTTATGTGAATTATTCTGATTGACTCTTGACATTTTCTTCTTTTATCTTTTTATTATAATTTCTTACATTAACTTTAACTGATATTTTCTAAGATGAAATTGGATGAGAAAGTAATGCTGACTAATAAAGAATGAATTTTTTTTAGTGCTGTTTTCATGATAATTCTTTTATTTATTTATTATAATACTACAGTATTACTATTATATTATTTATGACTAAATTGAGTATTAAGGCACAATTAGTAATCATTAGTAAGTAATGTCTGCTTGATAATTAAAGACTAATGTTTTAATATTAAATACACATTATTAAGTGAGAAAAATGATTTTTGCTCTTATTTAAATTAATTCATTGCTAAATGATAAAAATTATGGATGATAATGTTTGTTTACAGATCTTAAATAATACTTTTATAGTTTTGTTTTATTTATTTAAAAGAAATTCTATATTTGTATAATATTAAAAATAGAATTTAGAAGTGATGAAAAAATGTTATGCATTAAAATATTTTTATTTCTGTTATCATAGAAAACATTTTTTTTTGTTTAAATATTACTATGTAATGATATAATATATTAATAAAATTTATTATTATTATTAAGTGTTAGTATGTTTATAAAATTAAATAAATTTTTTTACAGACAAGAATTAATCAAACATCCAATAAATATGCATATCGAACTGATGTAGAAGGTATGTTTAATTTGAGATTGAAAGATATTACTTATTAAGACTGATCTAATATCATTAAGTTCTGATAACTTAAATATACTGAAATCTATTTATTATAATTACTTTGGTACTCACTTATACTGATAACAATAACTGACTAATAATATAAAGTGGGGTAGTTAAACATAATTAATGGAAATTTTGGTTTTATTGACTCTGACATTAAAAGAACATGTTAAAACAATTAAAAAATATTTATTGAATAATTCTAATTATAATCGTTATTATTAATAGTAATCCATTCAATGTATAATTAAAATAAGAAATGCCAGAAATTTAATCTACTGTATTTTGGGCAAATATGATTAAATAATAAATGTTTAACATTTATAGTATTGGTTAAAACTAGTCATGGTAATTGATAACTGATCATGTGGTTGATAACTCTCAATCCACTTTGTGGCTGAAAGTATGAAAAGATAGCTTAAAAACTATTTACCTGAAGATAATTGCAATAAGTGAAGTTTATTTTATCTTATATGTTTTGTGATCTGTTAATTCTGGTAACATTTAAATGATTGATAACAATATCCAGGATTATAATAAGCAGTTTCTATTGTATAATAAATAAATAACTTGGTATTTATTTTTTATGCTAATTATTTAATATGAAGATCACTTTTAGAGTAAAAAGAGTTTGTTATAAAGAAATAATTTTTAAAAATTCATTAATTTTTCTTGTTTTCTCAACAAAATACAAATCTCCTCTCACTTTTCTTCTTAATCACCATTCATACATATATTTTTTGAATGAGAGGCAAGCTTGATTATTTCCTCATTAAAGAAGTCTGCTGCCAATTAATTCACTTAAGTAATTGATGACAGTTTCATGGATAACATCCAGATGCAATTTCACCCAAAAATGTCTTTAATTTAAGGAAAAGAAGAAGGTTAGAGGAGGATGGTTGATTATTTTCCATTTAAATTTGTATGGTTTTCTGGCAATATGTGGATATTGTCACGAAGCAGACACTCCCTTATGGGTAAGACTCCATTGATGGTTTTGGATTGCATATCATGGTTCATATTAATAAACTATAACTCCATGGTTCATATTAATAAACTATAAAACTATGAGATATGCTTTAATGGAATATATAAACAACCATTTTAACTTTTAAGAAAAATGAACATGAACAAATGAAGATACAAGTTAATTTGAAAGTACTTGAAAGCTATGTAATGACTGTTTATATACTCCATTAAAGTATATCTTATAGTTTTAACACTGTAATTCTTTCAATATTTTACATTTTCTGTTGGTGCAATGTCTTCTTGAGGCAAAAAATTGACCAATAACATTTCTCAAAAAAATTATTGCCATGACTTCCAGGTTTGAAGATTTTGGACTTAAACTTTTTCAGTTTTATCAGAGAATGTTTGTGATTGCTATTCAAGAACTGCCACTTGCTTTCAGGCATATAGTGAGAGACCCTTCTCTTATCTTCTGCCACTAACTGATCCAAAAATTTATCCCCTTTGCTGTAGTAGTGCTCCAAAAATGCCTGAAATGCAGTAATTTCTTTCTGCTTATTTTCTGGAGTAAGCATTGCTCTGTTGCATAAGTATTTTGATAGTAAAGGGTGAATAGTGACAATTTTGTAAAGGACAAGCGAGAAATAATGGAAATACTTCATTGAGCTCATTGATAGTGAAGCTCCTGTTTTTCTGAATTTGTGCATAAAAAGATCATCTTTCAACTTGTCAGTGATGACAGATGGGCATCCCATTGTTCATCATGTACATTGAATAGTTGATGCCACTTACACACATTTCCCTTGTTCATAACACTTTTCCTATAAACCTCAATATGCTGACAATAGATTTCAGCAAGTTGAATATTTGTTGCATTCAAAAAACAAATTACTGAGTACACTTCACAATTGGCAGGATTGATGATTGATTGACATGCTTTTTTATAAATAGTTGAGAAATATTATCCATAGCATACAGCTCAGAACTTTTAGAAATTTAGTAAATAATCTAAAGAATGCTTTTGATCTTGAAATGGCTTCAGTCAATGACTTTACGGATGTTACATACAAATGGTTCTTAACACTATAACTGGAACCTGTTACCGGTGTTCCTCATGAAAAAACAGTCTATCACAAATGTTTTTGTGATGTTAAACTTCTTATTTAAATGGTTCTTACTTTAAAAAGACCTTTATATGCAATTTTATTAAAAAAAATAAAATTTTCTGTAATTTCTCATATAGTTCTCTACTTTTTTGGAGATTAAGATAGAAAAAATTTTACTTAAATGGTAGTATCTTTTGGCTTTCTAGTTCATTGGGACATTAGCATCATTGTGTTGTTGATAAACCTAAAGATGGGCAGCAAAAGTACTAGGATTCAAGTAGGATTTTTTGTTTTGTTCTGCAATAAAAGCAGAGAGCTATGTATGTTTAAAGAAATTATAGATATCAACCAAAATTTATTTATATAATTTATTTGTAATTTACAGAAACATGGAACGATTGTAGACAGTTGTTGTTGTTTTTTCGTATCATAAACAAATATTTTATAAATCCTCATTGATAAATGTTTTGTGTAAAATAAAATCATATTAATCATATCTTTTTACATTTGAGTGTTTGTATTTCATCCTTAACAAGATAATTCTAAAAAGAAATAATAATTTTCAAAAAAATCTTGTATAAATTATTAGTTATTATTATTATTTTAATTATTATTATATTATTTCTTTTGAGTTATATTCAAACTTCTGAGTATATAAATTGTTTAATTTGAAACTATATCATTAAAGTTGTATTTAAATAATTAATAATAATAATAATATAATATTAATATTTACAGATTAATTTCATTATGTGACTATTTATAATGTAATTTTATAATTAATAAAACATTAACAGACAATAATAAAGCAATTTACTTTTGATGATTTATATTTATGAATTGGATAATATTAAAAAACACCTTTCTCACTTTTTATAGGAAATTATAATTAAATGAACTAATATTTTCAATATTATCTAGAAGTTCTAGCTTACAGTGCATAGAATTATAAATTGGATCTTTCATACAATAAAAACTTCATTTTACTTGTTTCAAAAATAAATGTTCTCCCCAAAAAAGATAGTTCATCTTTTAGACAAATCACTATTCTACCAGCCATGCTAAAAATCTTTGAAACATGCTTACATCATAAAATTTATACCCAAATTACCTCCAGAATTTCCTCTCATCAACACTCAGCCTTCATAATCTATCGACCACCACTAACCTTTTTGAATCAACTTATACAGTTCTGCAAAATTTTGAGAAAAAAATCCAATTATATATTTACAAGCAGATGAGCTTTTTCTTCTCAGTTTACATAGATAAATTACTAATTACTAATAGATAAATTGCCTATGCAGATGACATTAAAATTTTATCCAATGATTCCTTCTCCCTGCAAGATAATAACAATTATTTATGCTCCACATTTGCTAGTTATAATCTAAAAATCAATACCCATAAAACTATTGATATGTGCTTTTCCCTAATTTGCAATCCATACCACCCTTCAGTATATATCAACTCCATTAAAATAAATTATGTACAGTCTCATCACGACCTTGGTATCATATTTGATAGAAAATTAATCTTTCACGAACATATCTCCTACATTGTTAAATCACTTGCTATTAGACGTGGCTTCATTTGGCATTTCTGTAAAAATATTTCTTCAAAATCTGTATTCAGAACCATGTTCTTTACTAATTTTCAGTCAATAGTCGAATATTGTTTACCTGTCTTGGCAATAACTTCCCCATATTTTACAGTATTTAATGACAACAAAAATAATAATTTATTAAATACAAAATATTTTCAGAACTACCAGAAGGTTTTCTGCGAATTGGTAAAATTACATTTGATCCAAATTCTGTACTTGGTCATGGCTGTGAAGGAACCATTGTATATAGGTAAAGAAAAATTTGATCATTATGATAATATCTGTTTTTATATGTAATAAATAAATAAAAGTGTTTATATTATTTACTAAAAACAAAATTATTTATTGTTAGAGGTAAATTTGACAACCGTGACGTAGCAGTAAAAAGAATACTTCCAGAGTATTTTAGTTTTGCTGATCGTGAAGTAGATTTATTGCGAGAATCAGATAAACACCCACATGTTATTCGCTATTTCTGCACTGTAAGAAAAGTTTTCATTATAAATTTTAAAATAATAAAGTTAATTAAATAAAATTAATACTCTATAATTCAGGAACAAGATAAACAGTTTCGATATATAGCTTTGGAATTATGTTCAGCTACTTTATCAGATTATGTTGAAAATTTTAATTTTAAAGAGAAATTGGATATTAGTACAGTATTACATCAGGCATCATCTGGCTTAGCTCATTTACATTCCTTGGACATAGGTAAGAAAGTTTTTATGTAAGAAAATACTAATATCACAATGTATTCAATGTCAAAATTTTTCAACTAACAGAATTAAGTTGAATAGTGAATTACACAACTTGAATTCTGTAGGTTTTGAAAATATTGTTTTACAAGAGTCGTTCAAGGTTAAACGAAACTTTTATTTCTACAAACCGAAAGGAATGTCCAAAACATGTATAAACTATGTCAATTTTTTGAAATATTCTCCATCTGTATGTGAACACTGTTCCCAGCAAACAAGGTAGGTCCTTGATACGTTTCTCATAGATAGAAGTGGGTTGATGTCGTAGCCAGCACAGGACAACTTGCTGCAGTTCATCATCTATCTGGAATTTTGTTCCTCCCAGCTGCTCTTTAAGGGGCCCAAACAAGTGGTAATCACTGGGAGCTAATCACTTTCGATACAAAACCGATTCAGAAGCTGCTCACATGTCTCCTTGCGTGCCCATTTCTGATCACATGCCAGCTGTTGGGGAACCCATCTGGCACACATCTTACGGAACAGTATGTGCTCGTGGATAATTTTCTCAACACTACCGACACTGAGGACACTTTGTCTGCAATGTGTTTCATGGTTACTAGCTGGTTCTCCAGGATAACTTGCTCAACTCGAGCGATATTCACTGGTGTTACCGCAGTTGAATGAACATGTTCATGTATTTCATTTGTTACCAGCTCTCATCCTTCACCAAATTGTCAACACCATTCGTACACTTTTGCCTACGATAGCATTTGTTTCCCATACTGTGCACTCAATCTTCTCAAAATTTCAGCAGGTTTAACCTTTTCCTTCACAAGAAATTTGATTTATGCATCACTGTTCCACCGTTGAAGACACATTACCTTCCGCTATGATCGCTAAAACTGCTATGCATGCACAAAATATGTCATACTTGCTACTTAAATCTTGGGATGGATAATGCTACTCTCTGTGTTTTATCATGCTACAGTTACTTTTCAAAATTATAAGCCCAAAAGTCTTGTTTAACCTTGAACGACCCTTATATATTAATAATTTTAATTAAATAGCATCTACAGAATCAACTATTACTTCTGAAGTTTTAATTTAAGTAGTTATTATTTAAATATTGGTGTTAAAATACCAATAATTAAATGATATTGCTGATATAATGCGTTTGGGCTAAACAGATGTGCCTTTAGTCATTAAACCCCCCCTTTCCTTGATTGTTTCAACCCGACACTTGTTCGTGAGCATTTCGACAAAGCTCTCTCTCTCTGTCAACATTCCCCCTTGCNATATCTTTCACTGTATCAATATTTTAGGAATAGTGTAAAAGAAATTATAAATAATGTGAAAAACTAAACAGTTGTATGTAAAATTATCATTAAAGCTTTCACAATAAACAATATAATAGCATTCACTTCATTGAATTTATTGTTGTGGATTTCAAAATTTAAAGTTAAAATTCAAATACTAAATTTGAATTTTACACTGATTGATGAATATAAATCAGGCTTACAAAATTTTCAAAAGTGATTTTAAATTCAAATAAATTTTTATTAAATTTTGAATTTATATATCTTTGCTGCTCAGATCATTACAATATGGTAATTAATAAAGAATATCAGTGATTATTTATTTTATAATTAAATTTTAATTCATAGTGATTTATTAAAATTAAAAAAATAAGTTATTAGTTTCAATATAATTATAAAATAATTGTTTTATATTCACAGTTCATAGAGATATCAAGCCTCATAATGTCCTAATTTCCATGCCAAACAATAAAGGTGAAGTTAAGGCAATGATATCAGATTTTGGCCTATGTAAAAAATTGTCAAAAGGTCGTCTGTCATTTACAAGATCAGGAACTGCTGGAACTGAAGGTTGGATAGCTCCCGAAATGATGACTGGAGAATAGAGAATATATCAACTCCATTAAAATAAATTATGTACAGTCTCATCATGACCTTGGTATCATATTTGATAGAAAATTAATCTTTCACGAACATATCTCCTACATTGTTAAATCACTTGCTATTAGACGTGGCTTCATTTTGCATTTCTGTAAAAATATTTCTTCAAAATCTGTATTCAGAACCATNGCTGAACTTTGGAGGAATCATTAATATAAATAATTTTTATCGCCGTTGAATAAGAAATGTTTCTTTCACAAGAAATGTATAAAATTACAGTACTGTATTAGACTTACGGTACCTAATTTACATACTGTACAGACGATAGTTCGCCTAAACTCTCCGTAGCGTGGCGCCAGGCGACGGAAAGCATATATATAATTATAATAAAGTTACAATAAATTAAGTTAATATATAATTATATATACAGTACCTAATTTATATATAATTAATATATAATTATATGTACAGTACCTAATTTTTATATAATTAATATATAATTATATGTACGGATGAAACTAAACTCAATTTACCCGCCTAAATGTCCGTAGCATGGCGCTACAGACGGCGGGAAAGTAGTTCGGCTGCCCGATGATGTTTTACGTAATTATAGGAGTTTTTTTTACCGTTGTGTACGGATACCGCCACAATTTTTTTGTCATCTTATAGGAATCGTAATTATAGGAATCAGTCTTATAGGGGGATCTACTGTAATTGAAATTTTAAAGTATCTGTAATTTTTAATTATTATAATTATATTTGTCTGATATGAAATACAAATAAATGAATATATTTATCAGTCTTCATTCAATGTAGAGGTTTATAACAATAATATTGCATAAAAATGATGTATTCAATATTTAATATATTATAACCATGTAACATGTTTAAATAACGTTGTCCAGTAATTATAAATTTTTCTACCTATTTAAGAAAAATGAAACAGGAAATTCAAATAAACTGGATAAATAACAAATGAAACAATTCAAACAAAAATCTTTGTAATCTGGCAATAATTTTTATAACAAATACATTTTTTCAACTATTGTAAATATCCATTTTCAGGTTCTAGAACATTAAAGCATGAAAAAAGATAGAAAGTATAAAAGCTATGGAACTTGTTCTACTATTACTTAAGATAATACTTGTTAACTTATACATTTATATTGATGATTAACAGATTTAAATAGTCCTATAATGAATTGTTATGAATTTATAAGAAACAAGCAATTATTTATTATGACATCATCACATTATAATTATGACATCATCTGATGCAAACTGGAAATCACGTTATTTCAATTCAAAACTTTTTCCCTGAAAGCAGTTAATAAATAACCGACATGACTCTATTGTTGAACGAAAAGTATGATGTACAGGGGCAAGAGACTACAGCACTAATTTGAGATGGAAATTAAATAAATTAAAAATATGATTAAAATTTGCAGCCTGGCACTGTGACAATGTCACAATAAATAATCGCTCATTTTAATATAAATAACAATCAAAATTAATTGATTAAAATTTATTATAAATAACATTGAGACCTACATAAGATGTGAAATGAAATCAAAACTGCAATAAAACAGAAGTTTATAAGATGACTAATTTGATGGAAACAGCTAAAATAAATAATGTAACATTTAATGTGATATAAGATGGTTTGAATTCAATTAATTCATTAATGTCTCTGTGAAATAATTCTATAATTATTGCATGTTGTTGTAAAAGTAAAAAATGAAATAAATATTGAATTAGAATTTCAATTCCTATTTGCAGAAGAGATTGACAGATTCTTTATCTCCAATGTCTTTAAAGTTCTGAATGGTGGGGTATATCTATGTTTGAGTGGAAACGGCTGTCTCACTGATAGTTATCAATTAAAATGTACCAATATACAAAGTAGAAGTGTTGTTTTAATAATTTAAAGTTAACTTTTATGAGGAATCTAATAGTATATCTTATTCTGATCTTNAGGTGTATCTACATCGGAGCAATCTCACTGATTATATAATAGTGATTTTAATTAATAACTAAGCAGAAGTGCCGTTTTAATAATTTTAAATTGCACCATTAGATTCTTTGTGAAACATTTCATCTATTAGACCCCTTTTTTTGTTCTGTAGACAGTTCCCTTTTAATTTCTATAGCAGCTAGACAGATACACACATTCAGAAATATATATATATATGTATAAATAGATAAACTTAGACTGTTTAAAAATAAAACATTTCATCTATTAGACCCCTTTTTTTGTTCTGTAGACAGTTCCCTTTTAATTTCTATAGCAGCTAGACAGATACATACATTCAGAAATATATATATATATCTAATAAACTGAAAAACAAAACTGTTTGTTTTAAAAAACTAAAAATATTTATTGAAAACATTTTGCAAATCACTTTGCATTCATTATCAACATACAGGGTGTGGCACAGGAACTTTCTTATTTGAAACGCAAGCCACACAGCGGCTGTTACTCCTTGGAAAGTGGGGTTTAGCGCATTCGAAAGGGAGGGCCTAATGTTTTTTGTATGGTTAGTTTATGTAACGATTATGTAGTGGATGAGACAGGAGCATGCGTTCACTGTGGCAACTTACTTTTCTAACGGCCATTCAGTCATTGCAACCCAGCTTGCATTCAGGAAACAGTTTAATATCATGCCTACAGGTTGTGTTTCTGATCGAAAATTGATTGTTCAGTGGGTGGACATGTTTATGGATACTGGTAGTGTGCAGAAAAAGAAACCAGGCCTTTAAGAACCACCAGGACACCAGAAAACATTGAGAGAGTAAGGCTGGCGATTTTGAAATTCATAAGCAATCTGCACACAAACATGCAGCTGCGCTTAGAATTTCTGATTGCACAATGAGATGAATTCTTCATGACGACCTGAGATTTCATTCATGCAAACTGGCAGTGGTACAACAACTTAATCCACGTGATTTTGTGTCACGAAAAAATGCATGTGAAGCTTTGATCAAAAACCTGCCTCATGATGCCCTTGTGTTCTTCAGCAACGAGGCACATTTTCATCTGTTAGGATGTGTGAATAAACAAAACATGTGATATTGGAGTGGCACGAACTCCCGAGAACTTCATGAGCAGCCCCTACGTACAGAACGCATGACTGTTTGGTGTGCAGTATCCAGAATTGGCATTATTGGCCCATGGTTTTTTGAAGAGAATGATAGGGCAATTACAGTCACTTCTGAGCATTATGTCCAGATGATTGAGGAGTTTTTTCTTCCCAAACTTGAAGAAATGGATGTGAGGGATGTGTAGTTCCAACAAGATGGTACCACGGCTCACACGGCATGAATGTCAATGACTCTCTTGTGTGAACACTTCCCCAAACGTCTCATCCGTTTGAGGGATGATCTTCAGTGGCCAGCACGCTCACCAGATTTTGCCCCCTGTAATTTTTTCATATGGGGATATCTTAAATCCTTGGTGTATACCAATCATCCAAAGACCCTGGGTGAGCTGAAGAACAATATTCGTGCTGCTATTGCCAACATAGACACAGACATGGACAAAGTGGACTGAAACTTCTGATTTTGACACTCCAAATGTATTGACCAGAACAGAGGCCACTTTCAAGATATCATTTTCAAAACCTAATGAAATAAAACTTTAAATCTACCTCTATGTAAAGAAAAAGAATTAAATTGATATCTCCAATACTTTTTGTTTTATGATTTTTTAAAATAAGGAAGTTCCCGTGTCGCACCCTATATAATAAATTACAGTATAATTAATATATGTAAATTGAATATGAAAAAAGTTTATTCTTTTTTTCCATTAGAAAATATTTAGTAAGAAAAGCATGATTTCTTTTTATAACAACAATTCCTTAAAAATAAATTTAAACATACATATTATATGATTTAAATATCAAAATTTTCTTAACAAAGCACTTGTTATATATTGTTAGGTGTATTAAATACTTGGCTTGGATGTCACGCCANGTGCGCGAGTTTTTCTACGGCGCTTTTCTTTCGTCGGTGAGTTGGTTTTTCTTCTATTTTTAAGTTACTAAGGTGAATGGTGAGGAAACCTTCGTCTTAACTAAACATAAGCCCCAAACAAAATATAATGAAAGCAAAATAAAAGTAAAATAAAAATAAAGCTCAGACTTGGTTCCTTACAATGTGTAGTTCCAACAAGATGGTACCACGGCTCACACGGCATGAATGTCAATGACACTCTTGTGTGAACACTTCCCCAAACATCTCATCCGTTTGAGGGATGATCTTCAGTGGCCAGCACGCTCACCAGATTTTGCCCCCTGTAATTTTTTCATATGGGGATATCTTAAATCCTTGGTGTATACCAATCATCCAAAGACCCTGGGTGAGCTGAAGAACAATATTCGTGCTGCTATTGCCAACATAGACACAGACATGGACAAAGTGGACTGAAACTTCTGATTTTGACACTCCAAATGTATTGACCAGAACAGAGGCCACTTTCAAGATATCATTTTCAAAACCTAATGAAATAAAACTTTAAATCTACCTCTATGTAAAGAAAAAGAATTAAATTGATATCTCCAATACTTTTTGTTTTATGATTTTTTAAAATAAGGAAGTTCCCGTGTCACACCCTATATAATAAATTACAGTATAATTAATATATGTAAATTGAATATGAAAAAAGTTTATTCTTTTTTTCCATTAGAAAATATTTAGTAAGAAAAGCATGATTTCTTTTTATAACAACAATTCCTTAAAAATAAATTTAAACATACATATTATATGATTTAAATATCAAAATTTTCTTAACAAAGCACTTGTTATATATTGTTAGGTGTATTAAATACTTGGCTTGGATGTCACGCCAACAGATAACTCAATCAAAAACCTCAGACTAGGAGGCGTTAAAGCGAATTAAGAGAAATATTTTAATCTTGCAAGTGCTTTCAACGTATGTTGAAATATGTACATATTTACAATATACAAAGTAATATTGTAACGTTGCATATTTATTATATTGTATATTACATACAATATAATAAATATGCAACATAAATTTGATTGACTTGTTATATATATGTATAATGGGCTAATTGTAATATAGATATTTTAAAACATATCATAATTTAATTGTATATTAGAGATTATTATAGCAATTATTTTGTAGATTTTTTTTCTCAAAATGACTTAAATAATTGCAATGTTTAAAAATTCAAATATGAAATTAACCAGAAATGTTATGTAAAATAATACGACAGAAAGTCGCATAAAAATTATACAAGCTTACAATAGTAATAATAAACTAATGTAAATAATTAACAGTTAATTTTAATTTTTAAAATTTGTATCAATATATATATGAAAAATTTACGCAATGTTTTTTTGTAAAATTGATAATTTAATTTCAGATTATACTGTAGCTCTCAATTTAATAGAGCACATGATTAAATTGGATCCAGCAGAAAGGCCTTCAATAAATGCTGTACTTAAACATCCTTTCTTTTGGTCATTAGAAAAGCAGTTGTCATTCTTTCAGGTATGTGGAAATTCTGGTAGTGACTCTTGATTAAAATAAATTAACTATTATTATTATTATTTTTTTTAATAGGATGTAAGTGATAGAATTGAAAAGGAACCATTTGACAGCATTGTTATTAAACTTCTGGAACGTGGTGGCTTCGATGTTGTAAAGGGTGATTGGAGACAGCATATAAGTGAAGAATTACAAAATGGTATAACATGAAAAATAAGTAAACTATTATATTCAGGATGATAATATATTTTATTCAAAGTTTATTTGCAGTAAATTTTAAAGGCCAAAACACAATAATAAGTGGAAAGAATATTATTCAGATATACAGAAAAGATTTTATAGTAAATGAAAATATCTTATAAATCATGATGAAAAGAAAATATGCAACTTTTGAAGATGAACCATATTGCCATTTTGAATCATGACACTTTTTTCCTGTAATTTTTTATTATGAAGTTATACAAAAAGTAAATTATGACAGTATGCTTAATTTTGCAATGTTATCTTACACATGCACATATGCATAAGATCACATCAGGCCTGCTGCATTTTGCCACTAAATATTTCATTACATGACTTCAGTTTCAATAAATCAAACATATTTAAGTAATTAATAGTAGTTAAACCAACATTATTACATCAATTAAAGTTTTTCATATTTGTTACATTCTTTCTTTCTGAAGCTATGTAGAAGTATATTTATTCTATTAAATTTAAACATTTAATTACAAGAGTTATGGTTTATTTGTGTAACAATTACAATTGTTACACAAATGGATCATGTTTGTTTATTATCTGTAATGTTAAATTTTCCTTTCTTGTCAACTTCAAAATTATTTTTACTACAAAATTAAATTGAAAAAGTAAATATTAATCATTAAAAAAAAAATATATATATATATATTTAGAAAATTTTTCATTTTTGAAATAAAATTATTTGTAAAGGTGCTTGTTTATAATTTGGAATGTCTTCAGACATATTTAGGACATTTTTTAAACAATAATTAAGACTTATTGTGTACAGGCACAATGAAGTGACGTTTTTCTCAACACTGGGCTAGTTGAATCTTTTATTTAGTTAGTTTATTATCATCATCAAATAATTAAGACATTTAAAAAATATCAAAATTAGGATATATTTACTAAAATTTTTCTTTTTGATAGGAACGTTAAAATAACTGTTATTTTGAAATACAAAGTGATAAGGAAACGAGATATATAAACATTGATAAACTAATTAATAATAAATTTAGAATCGCATTTAAGTTTTAAGAGAATTTACTAGGTATATAGAAAAGGTTTATTTCACATTTGTTCTTTGATTGTTAACTATCTTTATTAGTTATTATAGTTGAAGATGATTTAATAAATAAAACTTGAAATATTAACACTTGATTTAGCCAAGTGTTAATATTACAGGTTACAAAGATCATGAAATTTTGCTATCAAATAGGAGAAATGTGCATTATTTAATTTAATATTGTACTATTTAATTACAAATAAATCATCATCCATTTATAATTATTTTTATTAAATTTTTTTATTGATTTGAAACAATAGAATAATGCTGTAAATCCTTAAAAGCTAGCAATGGTGATTGAATAATTAAAGACAGTTGTGATCAATTGACAGAGAATAATTAACACACAACTTTAAATGCAGAGCAAGCATGCTCAGCATGGTAGATTAAGGCCAGGGTAATTTATAAAGTTCTTTAGCTAACTTTTCACTTTTAATCCTTTCTAAATTATGTGTGTCATTCAGTCAGCAAATGTAATAAATATCCAATAATAGTACAATATATTGAGGATTTAATTTGTATTTGTATTTATTAAAAGTGCAAATTGAACTTTTTTAATAAATAAACTTAATAGTTAAGTAATAGTAAAGTTAGATTATTTATATTTTTTAATGAAAGAATAAGAGAATAAAAATTTATATGATGATAGGAATAAGAAGCTAAAATCATTTAAAAGCTAAGGCACTTGCACAAATATTGAGATAACATGGAATTATTGTCAACACATGAAATACAGTGTGCTAGACAAAAATATAAGTTTAAGTAATATTTTTAGACTATAAATAAATAAATAATTTAAATGAAATTATAACAATTATATCTGTTATTTAAATAATATGTTAAATAGTTTTATATTCACAAATTATTTTTAAAAAATAATTTAAGAAAATGAAATTTTAAAGAGAAAATTATAAGTTTAGTGTAAATTTCAAGCACAGCATGGGAGAAAGTATGCAAATGAAGTTATATTAAACATTTACTTATAGCATGTGAAGAGATACATTGCTTGTAATAATCATTGAGAGAACAAGAAACATGTCACTTGGATGTCAACTTGAAATTCTGAAACTAGACAAATTTGGAGATCTGGTGTCAGTGGAGAAACCCAGAAGGAAATTGCTACTACAGTTAGCTGTTCTCAATGTTCTGTAGCTAATATTATAAAACATGGAATTGTTTGAACCACTAAAAAGCATCCTGGAAGAAAAAGTTGATTAACATCTTGTAACAAAAGATAGATAGATGTGTATCCTTTTAGTGGATTTTGTTGTTTGTAAGTACATATGTCAAGTTTTTACTATAAAACTAATAATGTATGTGCATATACCTAGAAATCCACAAAGAGATCTATTTATCATGACTGAAGGGGACATGTTAGGTCCAAAATGTATATCATAATAAATACATGGAAGAAAATTGTCTCACAAGGACATTCTGTTGTCCAGTCTCTTAAGTCCATCTATAGGAAAAGTGTACTAGCATGAAACATAGGAAATAAATCAGTGGAGAGAAACTGATTTGAATAATACAGATATATTTACTTGCAACTTAATCTAAGTTGTCAGCAAGTAAAATCAAAGGTGCCACTGGACTTTCTTGTTCAACTCAGACTATTTTTAAAGTTTTGCAATCCAAAAAAAAAAAAAAGGAATGCTTAAATACACAAAACTAATGAGGGAAACACCATTAACAAAGAAATATGAAAGTGCTCATTTGGATTTGGCAAGAATGATTGTGAGTTGGACTCATCAGTGGTATAGTATATTATTTTTAGATGAAAAAAGTTTAATCTTGATAAGCTTGATGGTTATCAAATGTTTTCATATGCGTTAAAAGCTGAAGGTGATTTGCAAATGATTCAACAAAATGAGTAGTGGCTCCTTGATGGTTTGGACTGCATTTTCAATGCAAGGATAGACTGATATCATCATTTCTGGAGATTTGACCTCTAAATCCTATTATACTCTGTTGGAAGATCAACTTAGTAAATATGGTCACATTCTTGGAGGTTAAAATTTCATCTTTTAGTAGGATAATGCATCCTGCCACAATTTAAAAATGATGAAACAATGATTTTTTAAAAATAATAATGAATATTTGTCATGGCCTCAAGAATATCCCAGAATATGGGAATTCTGGGATATTCTGGGAGCATCTTCTTAGGCTCATTTACAAAAATGGGAGACAATTTTTAACAGTTACAGACCTGAAACAAGCCATTCAAAAATGTTGGAATAAAATTCCAGATGAGTTGCTGATTAAATTAATTGATTCAATGCCAGATAGCAAGTATGATATTGCCAAGGTTACATAAAGTATTAATTCCTTAAATTAAAACATTAATTTATTTTATAATTTTGTCTCTGTAAAATTTAGATTTCTTTTTTTTTAATATTTTGTTTTCAAATAATTTGTGAGTATAAAACTATTTAAAAATAATAGATATAATTGATTATTTTGCTATGTTACCATTTCATTTAAACAATTTTATTCATTTACAGTCTAAAAACTTGTTTGAATTTAGTTTTGTCTATCACTGTAAGAGCAGCATATTAATTATTTTTCTTTCAGAATCTGTTTGCACTAGATTTTCTTATTGCTACTCCATTGCTATTATTTTCATTATAGAATAGTTAGTTCATTTTTTTCAAATCATTCATTATCCAATTAAAAAGCTGCTTAAAATCATTACACTTTATAATTGTATTATGTATGTACATTCAAAAATTGAAAATAGATTTTATAAGATACATGTATAACAATTTAACAATTTGCTATAATTGCTTACTGAGTTGTGATATTTTCAGATTTAAGGAAATTTCGAACTTATAAAGGTCACTACGTGAGAGATCTGTTACGAGCTATGAGAAACAAGGTATAATTTGTATTTAAAAATTAATTTTAGATTAAATATAATTTAAATTTATACTTAATATTCTTTTAACTTTAGAAACATCATTATCGAGAATTAAACGAAGATCTTCAGTTATCGCTTGGTTCAATTCCCAATCAGTTTGTCAATTATTTTACTTCACGTTTTCCACGTTTATTGATTCATACTTATCTTGCAATGCAATGCTGTAAGAGTGAAACTGTTTTTCAGAAGTATTACGATAAATTTTGTTTTCCTCATGTAGAAATTGATAATAGTCAGATGTTTGGTCAAGGAATGACTTGGAAGTGGAGAAGAAAAATAATGAAAAATATTGGAAATTTAAATTCTTTAACAGAAACTACCACAAGTATTTCTGACGAAAAGAACTTATTAGCTAATAATAAAGCAGAAAATGTAGAAAATATAAATTCCTCTGCATTTCAAAATATTGAACAAAAGCAATTGGACACTAATGTGCAAAAAACATTTCAGTTTAATAATAATCAAAATGAAACAGTATCTCAGTTTGAAGTGCCTTCTATTCAGTTGGGTATTCAACAAACAGAAAAGATCAATCAACAAATGGAACAGAATGGTTTATAAACAGTTTACACTAAAGAAAAAAATGTTCTTTTGACAAAAATGACATTTCAGTATTTGCATTTAAATATATTGATTTTAATACGAAAATCCAAAGTAGATAAATAAATATTTAATTTTTAAAATTATTTTCAAAATTTATTTATTGAAAGAATGTACATAAAGTTTTATAATTCAAACATGCACGTACTTAAAAATTAATTTAAAAGATTAGAAGTAATAATTCATTAAGAATTTAATTTTAAAAAATTTATGTAATGAATTGTATTTTATTAATTGAATATTTTAATTTTACCAACAGTATTTGTTTTTTAAATGTGTTATTAAACTTTGACTTTTACTTTTTTAGAAATAAACTATGCAGAAAAGACTAGAATATGAATCTTCAGTATAAAAATGCTTTAGTTTTATAGGATTATATTTCCTGATGTTGTTGTACAGTACAGTAAAAGAAATATAGAATCGATACTTTGTTAAATAACGATATCGCGTCTTTTTTTTAAGTTCAATTAAGTTCAAATAATTTACTGTCACATTAATATTATAATAAGCTTATTTAATTGTAATAATATTTTATTAAAATCGTGTTCTTCACAGTTCAGTGAAGAGTCTACCACTGCTTTTTCAAGACAAAATGTTTCACACTTTTATTTATTATCTTCGTTGTATTTAAACGAAATTCCATTCTTTTCTACATTAAGTATAGATAGTATAAGATCATTGTATTAATTATTCTTCAAATGTTAAATATATTAAGAAAATATATTCAATTAATTTGCTCTAAATATAAATTTTTTTAAAATTTTATATTTAGAATTTAATTGAATTAATAACAACATTGTAAAAACTCTATAACCTTTAAGACATAATTAAAAATTGCAAAATTATAACTTTTAATCTGATAACATTCAATATAAATGATGATAGCTTGTAATATGTTTATTCGAAGACTACAACAATGTTGTTTCGTGATTCCTGCCAATCACAAAGATGCATTTAAGCTATTCGTGTGACCCTGTTGAGATGACCAAAGCATGTAATGTGAATAATGAATGAAATAAAACTGTGCTTCGGTAAACCCTGCAAGTTTTTGTGATTGGTGGAAAACAGGAAATGGTATTGTTCTTTTTAAAGTTTTAATAAGGATGTTTTAATTTGATAATTTGTCACACAAGAAATGTATTGTTATTAATAATACTTTTACGAATAAGCTACATAAATTATTAAAAACTCTGAAAATAATTATATTTTATAATAATTTTATTAATAATATAGAAGAATTATCATCATTTAAATCGATTAAAAACAATTTTTTTCAATAAAGTCTCAATTATTTTATCTAGTATCATAAATAATTTGCAAACGGTAGTATCATAATCCAGGAAATGTAAGAAAACTAAAGCATAATTTATCTGGAAAATCTATTTTCTGTGAACTGTCCAAAAGTATTTGAATTATAATTCTCTCTTTTTAAATTATTATTGTCTACCATGATTTATGTACAATAATAGAACTTATTTTACTGGTGTGATCAAGTATATGATGATGATTTAAAATATAATTAAGGACATAGAGACATAATTAATTATAATTCTCTCTTTTTATTGGAAAAAAGTTACATTCTGTCTTAATTCATTGTGTTTAATATATGTGAAAAGATGACTTACCTATTTTTAATTAAAATATTATCTATTGAAATTCTATTTCTTATTATCTAGTCTATTATAAAATGTTTTGTTATTGTTAAAAGTTTGTTTTTGTAATTATATAAAGCGCATGCTGCATTTCTGAAAATAGCAAGTAATTAAAAATGAATAATTGTTCTATACGAATTTGTAATGTAACTAAAGCCATCAGTTGATAAAGTACAAATTCATAAAAAATGCATTGTAAAAACTTTTATAATTCTTGTTGAGAAATTTCAAATCAATATTTTAGTTTATCTTTTTTTAAATCTTAAAAATATTTGTGCCAGAACAAAACATTTTTATATTTAAAAATCATAAAAGTACAATAAATTATTAATTATATTTATTTTTTTTTTATAAATTTGAACATTGAAAATGTTGAAAATAAAAGAATTTTATGCTAACACTTAAATTTTTCTGCAATTATTTCTTCAATTTGCATTCATTTGTAATAAGTATGTATTCACATATAGTTTTATGTAATATATTATGATATTTTCAATTTTTTTTATACATTTATAATATAAATATATGAATTATACAAATATTAATGCACTGAATCTATGTTTTCTATTCTATATTTAAAATATTTAACGATTTGCCATTCAAATATTCATTTGTAAATCACATGTTTTTTTTTTCATAAATTAATTCATTATGATTCATTGAATTTTATATGTTTTTTTAAAGAAATAGTCATATGTTAATCCATTTTCTGTCATTTAAATTGTATTCAATTTATTTTATAAATCATATGTACGTGTAATTGATACTAGAGTTTAAAGATTGAGAAGTTATGAAAAGTTTCATATACATTTTCTTATATATTTGGATTATAATTCTGTTACTGGGTGGTGTTATATATAAATTGTTGATATTGAATAAAAATTGAATATATTCTTTATTTGTTTGTATAAGATTTTATATTGCTACATTAATGTTACACAGACAGAACAGAATACATAACCACGGTGACCAAACTATGAGACCCTTACTGCAGTTCCTGTGTAAGTTATATATATATAACATATACTGTATATATATTTAACAATATTATATATAATATATATGCCATAACCTATTGTAAGATGTTTTTTAAAAATTATATATTTATTTAAGAGCAAGAAAAATGTGTAAAATCAATAAAACAATGTTAGGCGGTCGTGGGTTTGAGCCCCGCCAATGGGTCAGAGCTTATTTAATTGTAATAATATTTTATTAAAATCGTGTTCTTCACAGTTCAGTGAAGAGTCTACCACTGCTTTTTCAAGACAAAATGTTTCACACTTTTATTTATTATCTTCGTTGTATTTAAATGAAATTCCATTCTTTTCTACATTAAGTATAGATAGTATAAGATCATTGTATTAATTATTCTTCAAATGTTAAGTATATTAAGAAAATATATTCAATTAATTTGCTCTAAATATAAATTTTTTTAAAATTTTATATTTAGAATTTAATTGAATTAATAACAACATTGTAAAAACTCTATAACCTTTAAGACATAATTAAAAATTGCAAAATTATAACTTTTAATCTGATAACATTCAATATAAATGATGATAGCTTGTAATATGTTTATTCGAAGACTACAACAATGTTGTTTCGTGATTCCTGCCAATCACAAAGATGCATTTAAGCTATTCGTGTGACCCTGTTGAGATGACCAAAGCATGTAATGTGAATAATGAATGAAATAAAACTGTGCTTCGGTAAACCCTGCAAGTTTTTGTGATTGGTGGAAAACAGGAAATGGTATTGTTCTTTTTAAAGTTTTAATAAGGATGTTTTAATTTGATAATTTGTCACACAAGAAATGTATTGTTATTAATAATACTTTTACGAATAAGCTACATAAATTATTAAAAACTCTGAAAATAATTATATTTTATAATAATTTTATTAATAATATAGAAGAATTATCATCATTTAAATCAATTAAAAACAATTTTTTTCAATAAAGTCTCAATTATTTTATCTAGTATCATAAATAATTTGCAAACGGTAGTATCATAATCCAGGAAATGTAAGAAAACTAAAGCATAATTTATCTGGAAAATCTATTTTCTGTGAACTGTCCAAAAGTATTTGAATTATAATTCTCTCTTTTTAAATTATTATTGTCTACCATGATTTATGTACAATAATAGAACTTATTTTACTGGTGTGATCAAGTAGATGATGATGATTTAAAATATAATTAAGGACATAGAGACATAATTAATTATAATTCTCTCTTTTTATTGGAAAAAAGTTACATTCTGTCTTAATTCATTGTGTTTAATATATGTGAAAAGATGACTTACCTATTTTTAATTAAAATATTATCTATTGAAATTCTATTTCTTATTATCTAGTCTATTATAAAATGTTTTGTTATTGTTAAAAGTTTGTTTTTGTAATTATATAAAGCGCATGCTGCATTTCTGAAAATAGCAAGTAATTAAAAATGAATAATTGTTCTATACGAATTTGTAATGTAACTAAAGCCATCAGTTGATAAAGTACAAATTCATAAAAAATGCATTGTAAAAACTTTTATAATTCTTGTTGAGAAATTTCAAATCAATATTTTAGTTTATCTTTTTTTAAATCTTAAAAATATTTGTGCCAGAACAAAACATTTTTATATTTAAAAATCATAAAAGTACAATAAATTATTAATTATATTTATTTTTTTTTTATAAATTTGAACATTGAAAATGTTGAAAATAAAAGAATTTTATGCTAACACTTAAATTTTTCTGCAATTATTTCTTCAATTTGCATTCATTTGTAATAAGTATGTATTCACATATAGTTTTATGTAATATATTATGATATTTTCAATTTTTTTTATACATTTATAATATAAATATATGAATTATACAAATATTAATGCACTGAATCTATGTTTTCTATTCTATATTTAAAATATTTAACGATTTGCCATTCAAATATTCATTTGTAAATCACATGTTTTTTTTTTCATAAATTAATTCATTATGATTCATTGAATTTTATATGTTTTTTTAAAGAAATAGTCATATGTTAATCCATTTTCTGTCATTTAAATTGTATTCAATTTATTTTATAAATCATATGTACGTGTAATTGATACTAGAGTTTAAAGATTGAGAAGTTATGAAAAGTTTCATATACATTTTCTTATATATTTGGATTATAATTCTGTTACTGGGTGGTGTTATATATAAATTGTTGATATTGAATAAAAATTGAATATATTCTTTATTTGTTTGTATAAGATTTTATATTGCTACATTAATGTTACACAGACAGAACAGAATACATAACCACGGTGACCAAACTATGAGACCCTTACTGCAGTTCCTGTGTAAGTTATATATATATAACATATACTGTATATATATTTAACAATATTATATATAATATATATGCCATAACCTATTGTAAGATGTTTTTTAAAAATTATATATTTATTTAAGAGCAAGAAAAATGTGTAAAATCAATAAAACAATGTTAGGCGGTCGTGGGTTTGAGCCCCGCCAATGGGTCAGATACGTGGAGTTTTCTGTGTTTTCATCATGTTGCTAACGACTTGCGTTAATTTTTTTTTTCTAGTTGTTTTACTAGCAAATCAACAATTTTGCCAATAAGATCATCTCATTATATCTAACATGTAGTTAGTAGCCAACCATAGCACAAATCTTTTGCCACGAAGCTAACTAGGGTCAATCGAAATTCATCATCACGATTAAAACAAAGGTTTTAAAGCAATTTATATCAAAGTTAAATACTTAATTCTCCTAACTTTAATTACTTTTGTAATTTCTGCTTTTATTGGCATGTTTACATTCATTATTCAATTGAAAGGAACAAGCAACTTTTTGCTTGCCTTTGTCATTTCCAAATGAATGACAACCCAGAACTCTCCATGTGGAAATGGCTGCTTCAGAGTTCCACCAAGAGTTGGAAAGAAACTTACTCCACAAGTGATTAGAATCATTTGTCAAGTTTCATTCTTCCTAACTCACACAATGAAAGTATTTAAAACTACCTCTGATTACTTCAAATTTAACTATTTCAAACTTAACTTAATTTGACAGTATAACTTTAATTAGTAGTAACCTATAATAATATATAATAATAATAAACATTAATAACAATGAAGACAGAAGATGCGGCCGGGACAGAGAGAACCTCCGGGCTGCATCTTCTGTCTTCACTCTAGTGGGCCTTAAAGATGGGGAACACAGCAAGCCTTCTCTGCCTTTCGTGGGGGTCTCCGTCTTCTCTCGAGATTTTAAAGAACACAATTAATATTAAATTACATCCAAATAAATAGGAATTTTGGAGGAACAATAGAAATTTTTGAATATGAATCTTTCACTTAATTTATCTCGAAATTTGATTGTGATGTCGAAATTACATTTGAATGTTTACGAGAATTGTTGGAAGCAATTATCATTTGAATTTAAATTGTTAATCAGAAAAAGTAAAAACTTTTTGAAGAACTTTAGCAACGAATTGGTAAAAAAAAATAAATAAAATTTTTTACAAACTACCGTATATATAACAAAATATTTGGCAGATATACAGCTCTTTTAATCAATTTGGTAGGCTAAAAAGGACCCCATTTACAGCTTTGTTCCTATTTTTCTTGATAACAAGAAATTCGTTTAACATTACCCGTCGATAATTTACTTTGAATTCTTCGGAAAACAACATGTAAACTATTGGAAAATGGATTATTTTATTTCGAAAATTTAATTTCAGTAAACTGGTATGAGACAAAATGTAATTATTTCGGTAAAGTGATCGATGACTCAGACAAGGCGTCAATATGTTTGTAAATAACTTATTACTTGTATTTTCTTAGCACAATGTTGCTGCTGTTAAAAATATATTCCAACAATACGTAATGAATTGTTAGTATGTATTGTTGGCTGTTTCTATTATAAGTGGCTATTGTTAATAATAATTCTTCTAATTATTAAAAACTAAATTTTCATTTGTTAAAATTGCAATCTATTTCGCAAACGAAACTCGAAGGTTTGAAGTAAGAATTAAACTGCAAATTCACAATAAAAGATTAGAAAATCAACAATGAATTTTGTTTGTTATTAATTTGTTTATTTATGTTAATTGGTTGGCCCTCCTGTGACCAAGCGGTTCTATTCCCTGAACACTGGAAGTTCGGTCGTGATTTCGCGCCTCGCTCGGACGGGCTGGCCAAGTAGTATGTGGCTCCACGTCTGTAACACCTGAATAGGGGGCCAGTTACCCTTAAAAATCCCCCGGAAGTCGTTATTCTCCGTTTTCACGTAAGGCCAAGCAGTTAAGCTTCGGCGGGATTATCAGATACACCATCGCTCTATCGGAGAAATATAACTGAAAAAACTGACACTTTATATAAAACATTGAGGAATAGAATAGAATAGAACTTAATTCATTCCTAAAAGTTGTTCGAGTACTGATTTCTTTTAAAATCGAAACGGTATAAATGGATTAATTCGTTTCCGACTCCCAAAACAAAGTTTTATTTATCTTTTAGCTGTATTTTTAGCATGCATAAAAATGTCTATAAACTCAAGATAATATTATGTATGTCAGTCGGATGGCCGAGTTGTACAGTACATTCGATACCGGATTCCCCAGGCCCGCCACCCTGGGAGATCCGGTATCGAATACAGACGGGTCGAAAAGTCTTTTAGGTATTATTCAGGTTGTGGTCCATCCGGATATTCATCCATGACCCCGCCCCTCACCACCCAGCAGCCCCATTGTGGGCCTTGCCGGACCCATAATGGGCTTGCAAAAAGGCCCTCTTAGTGCCCACAGGGCGGAAAGAGTAAAAAGAAAAAAAAAAGTATACAGTATATAGCATTTTAGGTATTTTTCAATAATATGCTTAAGGAAAGAGCTTAATATCTGACCGGTAATAGGCTGCCGGTAGAATCCCAGAGCGGTAGGCAGCCACTTTGACTGCTCGGCCATCCGGCCGCTATATACTATATACTGTATATAGTAATCTTATATTAATTCCTTATTGGTTTTATTATCAAACACTATATTTATTTATTATATATACTGTATATTATATATATATATATATTTATGAATGGCCATAGGGATACAGCTTCATAAAATCAGTAGCCGATGATGTCTGTCCTGTCCCAACCTTTAAGACTTCATATCTCTCATGGCTCTTGACCTTTGATACTTCATAGAGTTCCATGAATTTTAGTGTCACCTTTTGTCATGGTTCCAGTTGAGTCCTTTTGATGGCAACCAGNGTCTTCGCTCTATTTTATACATATTTGTATTTTTTGTATGTATTTTGGAGTGTCTAGAACGAATTAATTGGATTTACATTAATTCATATGGAAATAATTGCCTCGGTTTTCTTTTTTTTTTTTTTCCGGGTTCGGACATCTGGCAACACTGTTACTGTTTAGTAGATGGCGCTTTGTATTTGAACCGTGAACACGTGTTGTGTGTTTGAAATTTGAAGTGTTTTTATAGTTAAATTTTATATTAAAAAGACTCAAAAAATGGCTGAACTTGTACAATTGAGAATAGAAGATGCTATTCCAGAATTAGAACAAATGGAAAGAATAGGATTATTTACAAATAAAGAAATAAAGTAAGAAGTTTCTGAAATATTTAACGAATGTTAATTTACTTTGTAAACAAGTTTAATTGCAGCTCAATATTAAATTTTGTTCATACTTAATTAATTTAAATTTTAATCTTAATACATTATTAGCATGACTTATTTTTAATAAAAAGTTTTAAAAGAAAAAGTAATCGCATTGTTTGTATGTAATGGTTTCCATATCCCTATGAACCTAATTTAAATTGCAATTATTATATTTGCGATGTGAAATAGGTTAGTAGGAATTTATTATAATAATAAAATAAAAACATCTGTCTTGCAGACTCTCACTTCACTTCATAGGCTACATATAGAATGGTGACATTGCAGTTCTGAATGAGGATTCCCTTTAGACAAACTTGAAGACTCCCTAGAAGAGTTACATGTAGTCCATCAGCTCTTTTGACCTTTTTTAATCCTAAGGGCATTGTTAAATATATCACTGTTGCAGGTTATGTGTTCACGGATAGTGAGTAGGATACCTTATGAGTAAGTTTAAAAAATCATACACGACTACTTTGATCCGTTTCAAGTCGTACCAAACCAAAAAGTGGTGGGCTTGATAAAAGACACCACATCATGGCCGTTTATTTATTATAAAAAATAATACAATGGTTATATGATATGAAGTGTTGCTACACAATACAAATACAAAAGTTTATATAACACAAATCATTGTTACACACAAGAGAGAAATTTAACACTCCCCCTCAATGATTTGTCCCATTTTGCTTACAGTCATTGAGTCCAAGTTGTCTAGCACATTTAACATTTTTTCCATTACACACTGGTTTTTTTAAATGTCTGCTACCATTTCCTTGGTAGGGCAGTACATAATACATACATTCCCATTCTTCACTTCATTTCTTACAAAATGATATTTGACGTCAATATGTTTCGTAGTTGACTCACACGATCATTTTCCGCCACTTTCATACAACTTTAGTTATCCTCGTACATAGTTACTTTCTTATCGACGGTTTCCCCAAGGTCCAGAAACACTTGCTTCAGCCAAGCAGCCTCCTGGGTAGCTTCACAAAGTGCAACCTACTCAGCTTCAGTCGAGGACAGTGTCACATTGTTTTGCTTTTTACTGTACCACAATACAGGACTGTCTTGATATTTAAAGACATAACCTGTATGCGACTTTCGATCTGTGTTATCACCTGCCCAGTTTGAGTCGACGAAACATTCTAGTGTGGTTCTAGCGTTGCTCTTTTCACCCAATTTCAGCTTCCAATCAGCTGTTCCCTTCAGATATTGGAACACCCTCTTCACCTCATTCCAGTCAGCTGCTCTTGGTTCCTTAGTACGTTGGGCGAGGATGGAAACTGCTGCCAATATATCTGGGCGTGTGTTAGTTGCAAGGTACAGTAAACTACCTATACCCTTCAGGTACAGTTTATTACTTTTCATTCTTGGTCCCCGCTCTTTAATTTTGAAATATCCAGGATCAAGGGGAATCTTGCTGGTTTTTACACCTTGAAGTCCAAATTCTACTAGTTTGTCAGTTATAAAGTTTTTGATTTAGATGGAATATTCCATCACCATCTCAATCAAATTTGATTCTGAGGTAATGATTGATATTTCCGAGGTTTTTCATGTGGAAATATTTGTTAAGTTTCCACTTCAAGCCAATCTAACGCTTCTTTGGAGGTTGTAAGTAAAAAGAACATTAAAGAAATAGAACATAAATTAAAATTATGAAAAAATAATAACTGCGCATGCGTTTGTAATGATGAGTGCTTAACGGAATGAATATAATATTAGGGATATAAGAATATAAAAAATAAATAAAAATAAAGAGTTCAACAGTTTCCTATTAAAAATTAATGTTTCGTAAAAATTACAGTTTATCTTCATAGAATGATTTCCATGCTGTAGATAGAGAGTGGGCGTCCCTAAGATTGATACAAGTAGTTTTCCCTTGGGCTTTATAAATCTCAAGTTTTTTGAGATGTTTGATGGAGTGCTTGTTAGACGTGGGTCTAATGACGTCATTAGACATCATTAATGGGTCTTTGGGTTTTACTTTATCATTTAACTGAAGATGATCGAAAACGTTTTTACGATATTAAATTATTTGCTGGAGTATTTAAAAAGGTGATAATTTTGATTAATAATATTAGTTTGCTGTTCAATTAAAATTTTGTGTTTAATTTATTTATAATATATAATTCTTATTAATGATGATAAAAAATACTCACAGAAACTTGATGTGATGGATAACTTAAAAAACTATCTTATTTCAAACTAGATTAAAATGGAAAATTTTAAACTGGATACATGTTTAGGGATTAAGCTAAAATTTTTTAAAATTGCATTACTGTAATTTAGCTAATTGGTCCCAAAAAGTTGTAGCCTAATATCAAAAAGTTTAGCAAAATTGCAATTGCATAAAATACTTTTTATAAAATCAAGTGTTGTTATTATTATTGCTTTAGTTTCTTTCAAATTTTTTTTTTTTGGTGAGAGAATTGAGTAATGAAATTTATAACCAAACCAAACATTTCTTTATAATAATATAATTTCTTTTTTCAGGTTGATAATTAAAAGAAAAAAAGCCTATGAATATCGTTTACAAAGGAGACAAAAGACAAAAGAAGATTATCTAAAATATATTTATGTAATTGTTAAAATTTTTCTTGAATTAATAGTATTTATTATGTAGAAATTTTAAATTTTAGTTTTATTTAAGATATATATTTTTTTTATTAATTAAATCTTAAAAATATAGTAGACTTTGGTATTATACTCACTTTGGATTCACCTAAACTGATTACCATCTTTTAACATTAAATAAAGAAAATAAATAAGACTGTAATTAGAGGAAATTTTGATCATTGACTTATGTTAAAAGGACATTCATTTTTTTTAATTGCTTTAACATAACCTGAAGATTTATTAATTATAATAATTATTATTAATATATATATATATAATTTATCCAATATTGTTTGTCTGCTGCCAGCTTAAACAAACAATATTTCAAACAAACAAAAATTTTAATATAATAGATTAGAATTCAGGAAACTTTGGTATATAAAAAACTTTGTAGTCCAAAATAATAATTAGAAAACATTGAATGAACTAATCAGTCATAGTTCATTTATGATTGAGTCAAACATAATCATGAGCAGACATAGTGATGTGTTATGCACAATAATTCATGTATTTGGCTATATTGTTCAACGATTGAATGCAAAAATTGTGAAATAATGATAATGTACAGTAGACTAATATAATGATAATCAGTTAGGAAACCCAGTTTGATGGTGTTAATTTACACTTTTTAATAAACAATACTAATTTGTTACCATATACAAAAATGTCTTCATTAGGAAAGGATTTTAGAATATAATAAAAGAGTTTAAATGAGTTTTGCTAGTGATGAGCATTTAATTTAAATTTGTTTTTATGTTTAAAATATGTATTTTAAAAGGATATTACAATAAAGCATTAAAAGAAAAGTTATTTATATTCGTACGATTATGAAAATAGAACTGGCAGATATTATTCGCTTTGTGATAATTTTTAATTTGCTGTTACTTAACAAAACTTAAAAATGAAATGGGTTATTCAAAAATTTTTCCCTCTAAAAAATACAATTTCATTCCAAACTCAAGGTTCTTCCAAAATCAGTGTCATCCTAAAAAAATCTATTTTAAATTTATTTTTCTGTAAATAAAATTTTAAAATAAATTAATATGATTAAATTATATAAATTAAATATGTTTAAATTTATTTCAGTATGAAAAGTGTTTGTTGTCACTAATTCAAAAAAGAAGAAAAGTGAGTAATACTCTAATGTAGATATATTTTTAATTTAACCTTTGTAGAGAGGGTTAGTCAGATATGGTGCTATCATGATGTAGTGGAGAATAAACATGGGAAATTTTTAAAGAATTTTCCCACGTGTTTATCTCATTTCCGTTTCAGAAAAAAATTTTTTAAACAGTTACATCTAGTAAAGAAAAAATCTTTCTTTATTGTCACATAATTCCTTTTTATGTGAATTTTTTGTGGTAATTATTGGCTAAAATTTTTTTGTGGATATCAACGTTGTTATCCAGTGCCACATGATTGCCCTTGACGGGTATATCCATCGATCACTGCAGTGTGGTTAACTATACTAAGAAGATATTTTAAAATCATCAATAGATAATATTGTATTTTTGATTTAAGTTATTAAAGATTAATGATCCGGACATACTTTTTTTTAATTCTTAAGTTGGCCTAATTAAAAAAAAATTCATTCTCAATAAACCAACAACTACCAGTTTATATCAAGCTATTATATTGCAATTATTTTAAAATGAATTACTAAATAATTTGTTACTAGAGGGAGGTGTTAGGCATCTTCTCTTATTAGATTTAATAATTATTTAATTATAATTATTAAATTCTTTTCTTCCAGAATTTTCCAAATTATTTAATTTAGTTATATTATTAATTATTAAAGAGATGGTGCCTAATGCCTCCCTCTAGTGACAAATTATTTAGTAATTAATTTTAAAATAATTGCGATATAATAGCCTGATGTAATCAGTAGTAGTTGGCTTATTGCATATGTACCGGTACTGTACATCGAGTTTGTAGATGTTGGTTTATGTATTTATTCTCAAAATTATACATTTGTTTAAAATTTTATTATTTTACAAATACATTTTGTTTATTTTTTCAAGGAAACACACAATTTCAACAAGAAAAAAGAAATTGATATTTCTATTGCCAAAAGAGTTAGTAAATTGTATAAAGTAAGTACAATCAGTTTTTCAAAGATTATCACTCTAAAATTTAACAAATTCAACGACAAATGCTTTAATGGAATAACAAATTAATCAAATTACAAATTTGAGTACTTTTAAACTACTTCACTTGTCAGTGGGAAACCGTTTTCCAATATAAGATGTATTATTATGGAAACAAAGTAGTTTGAAGTGTTAAGAAAATATTAAAAATTACTAGTCATAAAAATTTTATTATTTAATTCATAAAATTTATATTTTATTCTGTATAAATGCCTTCTTGTAAAATAATTTCTAAAAAATACAAAAATGAATTTTTCTACTCTTTATATCTATTTAAAAATTTTTATTACATAAATATCTGTCATTGTAATTAATTTCTAGAAATTTTTCTTTCTATTATTACAAAATATTTTTCTTAGAACTAACATGAATTACAAACATTTACAACTGCTAATTTCTATAATTTATAATTTGACAGTTTAGTTGAATACAACCATTCAAAGGATGAGAGCTTTTAAAACTAGTTTTTCTGCACAGTTTTTTTCACTTATATAAAGTTATTCGTTTATAAAACATTATAATAATTGAATTTTTCGATTGAACTAACAATTAAATCACTTAGGAAATAAATATTTAAAATAATTTATCATGTATAATTTTTATTTTTAAAAATTAATTGGAGATGTTTTATACTTTTGTTAATATGTTAGTTAACATCCAAACATACTAATTTTTTAACCCGTCGGCACGCGCCTAGTGCCAATTAGGCACTAATCGATTTTTAATTAGTTTGTGTAAAAATTCTTATTGTGTGAAAAATCTGAAAAAATTATTACCTGTCTAATTTTTCTTCAATTTTACGATGCGCAATCCAGTTTTTGCTTAAAGCGTCTCATTATTTTTATTTAATTATTGGTGCCGAATCGGCACTATGGCGCGCGTGATCTCGGATTTCAATTTTCAAATTTCCCGCCAGTTGCTGTTACTAAAAATAGCTGCAGCTACGGCGCGCGCTTCTTCGCTTATAGTCGCGTTATTATAAAACGAATAACTTGTAAAAAACTGAAATTTGACCGGAAATAATTTTTTTCATTGGTATTTTTTAATCATTTTATAAAGTTTTATGACACCATCACATTTCCTTTATAAAATCTTGTAAATGGAAAAGTTCCATGATATGTAATATTGTCGAGAGTGCAATCTAAAAAAAAAGCAAAAATATCAAATTATTAATCGTATTTATGTATAAAATTCAAGTTTGAAATGCTGTATCAAGCATTCTTTCACGAGAGTATAAAAATATGTCATAAAATTAGTAAATTTTCTTACGTTTGGTTTGTCCATTCTTTTCTTTTGAATCACCATTTTCATTCTCTTTTTTCCCTGTTAATAAAATATTTACATAATGTATGACAAATTTCTTATTTCTTCAAAATATATAAACTTTAAGGACTTTAATCGAAAGAATTTTAAAGTATAACAAGTAAAATCTACGTCTCGGAAAGCGCAATACAAGCCTGTATTTAATTATCAGAATACTATTATATTGTGATTGTTAAATTATTAAAATTTCTAATACTGGGGTGTCTCATTCGGTGTAATGTGGAGTGAAGTCTGTTACTATATTATTATTATTCATTCAGCCAAAATTGTTTTTTTCATAGTTGCGTTTCCTTATTTGGGATTAAGGAAAAAGTATTCTACAAGTTCATACTCTTTATCCAGAAGAATTAATACGATTAATTTAATTGTATAACTAATCTATGATAATATATACATTTAATTACTATACCTTTTAATTCTGTTATATTTTTTTTACAAAAGTCTTCGGCGGTAAAACAATACTCGCAGAGATCAGGTTTCTTCATCCATGAAATTAGAGGAAATATAATTATTTAAATAAATATAAACAATTTTTTGATATTGTAATTTATATTGCTACCTGTTTACTTTCTTTAAAGTGATATATACAGTACTTAGTGTTAGTATTTAGAACTTTAATTACAGTAAATTGAATCGTAATGGTTCGATATATATTTTACAATAGACTTACTTTTATATTACACTTTCCATTCAGCGTAACTGAATCGTCGTCTTTTTCGCATGTTTTAGATTGAAGGAGACAATTATTTCCGCATTCTTTTTCGACTACAGACGAAATTTCCCTTTTTTCAACTTGGTGAGGTGTAGGGTTATAATTGACGTTATCCTTAGTTTTCTCAGACTTGATAAAGCGCTCTTCTATATCGGGTGAAACAATTCGAATGTTGGAATATTGAAGTAAATAGATAAAGATAAAAGGTTGAGCGAGAACAATCAAATAAAGCAGCACTATCAGAAAAGAGAGTACTCTTATTTGATGTTGATAGTCTTTTTCTTTGCTGTTCTTCATAGTGCTATTTTCACGATAAGAAACAAATGTAATTATTGCATATCGAAATTTCATCATAAAATAAAATGTAATAATTTTATAAAAGATAAAAATATAACGATAAAATTATATATTCTTAGATATATACTTCTTACTCGATGGTAAGACTGCTACAGAATCAATATTTCAGCAATTACTGAAGCATGAAGTTATATTAATGATAATATATTATAGCATGACTCTCACATTCTCATTTAATCAGTGGAATTCAATGTATAAATTCATCGTATCGATGATATAGTGAATGAAGGTGATGATATAGTGAATGCAGTANTCTGAGCGCGTCGCGTTGCATCAAATTAAATAATTTATAAAAATAAAAATAACAAATATGTTTACAAAATAATTGACTATATCTATTCGCAATAGTACTCTAACACACATCGTACTTATAGTTAAGCATTTCTGATAACATTTAATTAATTTTTCAATTTTCTTATATTTTATATATAAAATGCGAATAAAAAAACATAAATTCGTGAAACTTAATAAAAAAAAATATCTGCAACTTCAGAAAAGACATATATATGAAAATATATCAAAAAAAGTTAGCTAATAATAACTAACATCGAGAAAAAAAATAAAACTCTCAAGGTACGGTCATTTCTGTTGTAAAAAGTGAGGTAAGCGATCACGTGACGCCCATCTCCCCATCGTCTGTAACCAAAACGGACAAGGATGAAATAAAAGCGGAAACACCAGTAAAAGTAAAAACAAACATCGGCGTGTATCTACGCCTATAAACTTGAACGGGAGCGAAGATGAAACACGACACTTTGTAATTTATGCTAATTACCTTCTAATATTAAAAAATTAAAATCATCAACAAAATTATAACAAAATTAAAGTTTTTTAACTAAATTGGACTACCAACATATTGTAAAGTTGGATTAAAGTAAAAATACTCGTTTTACGACGCTAAATTTTTATTAATTAATTTTTTAATTTGGTGCCTAATTGACCGAGCGCGCGTAATTTCTATTTGACGGAGCACGTGCGTGCCGACGGGTTAAATGAATTAACATTTAATGTTTTGAATGTCAAAATCACAATTTATCATTAGATTATTTCTTTGATCAGTATGCAATTAATGGCTTTTTAATTAATGTAGTTAATGACAATGTATAATAAAATTGTATAGAAAACCATTTCTAGTTTATTTACATAAATCCAAATTGATATAATAGTGTTCTCTTCAAAAAAAAGCGTAGATACTTGGTCTATAATATTAGCTGTCTGTTTAATAATGACTTTTTAATGATAAAAAATAATACCTTTATGCAATTGAGTATTGTAATACAAGCCTATGGTATGGCTATCTTTAAAAAAATAATAATTGTAAATAAAATATTGAAAAAATTTAACTAATTGGAAAAAATAAGTTATTTAGCTGGTTGATTGATCAGGTAAAATTGTTTTTGGGGAAAATGCTGAGTTAGTCATTCTTTTGATTATNAGCGCGTCGCGTTGCATCAAATTAAATAATTTATAAAAATAAAAATAACAAATATGTTTACAAAATAATTGACTATATCTATTCGCAATAGTACTCTAACACACATCGTACTTATAGTTAAGCATTTCTGATAACATTTAATTAATTTTTCAATTTTCTTATATTTTATATATAAAATGCGAATAAAAAAACATAAATTCGTGAAACTTAATAAAAAAAAATATCTGCAACTTCAGAAAAGACATATATATGAAAATATATCAAAAAAAGTTAGCTAATAATAACTAACATCGAGAAAAAAAATAAAACTCTCAAGGTACGGTCATTTCTGTTGTAAAAAGTGAGGTAAGCGATCACGTGACGCCCATCTCCCCATCGTCTGTAACCAAAACGGACAAGGATGAAATAAAAGCGGAAACACCAGTAAAAGTAAAAACAAACATCGGCGTGTATCTACGCCTATAAACTTGAACGGGAGCGAAGATGAAACACGACACTTTGTAATTTATGCTAATTACCTTCTAATATTAAAAAATTAAAATCATCAACAAAATTATAACAAAATTAAAGTTTTTTAACTAAATTGGACTACCAACATATTGTAAAGTTGGATTAAAGTAAAAATACTCGTTTTACGACGCTAAATTTTTATTAATTAATTTTTTAATTTGGTGCCTAATTGACCGAGCGCGCGTAATTTCTATTTGACGGAGCACGTGCGTGCCGACGGGTTAAATGAATTAACATTTAATGTTTTGAATGTCAAAATCACAATTTATCATTAGATTATTTCTTTGATCAGTATGCAATTAATGGCTTTTTAATTAATGTAGTTAATGACAATGTATAATAAAATTGTATAGAAAACCATTTCTAGTTTATTTACATAAATCCAAATTGATATAATAGTGTTCTCTTCAAAAAAAAGCGTAGATACTTGGTCTATAATATTAGCTGTCTGTTTAATAATGACTTTTTAATGATAAAAAATAATACCTTTATGCAATTGAGTATTGTAATACAAGCCTATGGTATGGCTATCTTTAAAAAAATAATAATTGTAAATAAAATATTGAAAAAATTTAACTAATTGGAAAAAATAAGTTATTTAGCTGGTTGATTGATCAGGTAAAATTGTTTTTGGGGAAAATGCTGAGTTAGTCATTCTTTTGATTATTAATGAAAAAGAGCTTATCTCAGTATTATAAATGAAAACTGGAAAAATTTTCAAATGCTAAACAATATTTCTTACTTGAAATTTAATTTTTGTTCTTAATTATGAATTATATTATTAAAATTAAATTATAATAGAATTGATATTTTTAGGCAGCCATTGTTCGTTGTCAAAAAGATGTTAACCTTTGGTTAGAACACATTGATTTCTGTAAAACTATGGTAAATATATAGTATATTTATTTTCGTCTTACCATTGAGTTATAAAATAAAATATTGTAAAGAAAATAATTTCAACTTATTAAGTTTTAAAAAAATTTTTAAAATCTATTAAATATATTTTCTTTCTTTTTATCTTCTGTAAAATTATTTTTTAAATTTTCATCAGAAAGATTTCTGTTAAAAATCTTAATAAATATTGTTAATTTTTTAAATCTGTTTATAGCACTGGAATGAAACTGTTAGTGGCATGTTTACCCGACTTCTTCAAGTACATAACAATGATCCTGGTATGATACTTTAATTATATTTATAGTTTTAAATAATAAAATATTGCAATTCAAAAATAATAAAATTTAATTATTGTGAACTCTAGATCTTATATACTTCTATTGGTGCAAAATGGATTTTAGAGTCGATTATAATTTTAAAATAAATATCAGATATTAATTTTCAGAAAAATAATAAACATGTAAATGAAATAAAAAGAAGAAAAATCTGGATTTGTCAAATCTGATGATATAATAAGAATAATAATTCTTTAAGAATTAATTAAATAAGTTTTTGATCAACTTTTCTAGTAATTCAACTCTCCATCACTCATTACTAGTCATGTAGTAATAAGTGAAGGAGAGTTTATTTGAAATTTATTATTTTGTAAAACAGAAATAATGGTTACAGTAAAATAAAAAAGTTAATTTTTATAATTTTGAGATTATGATAGAAAAAAAAAGGAAATTCTATTTAAGATTTATTCGGAAAGAGTTAAGCTTAAGGCATTGTTGGATTGGACTGTTGACTAAAATAAAAAAATTTATTTAAATTCTCAATAGCCTTTTTAAAGTCTTTAGAGCAAGAGTTGAATTTGATAAAAATCTTATCAAGAAAGGAAATATTCTTTTAATTTTATTTACAAAACTATAAAATCAAACTTGAAAATAAAAAATTAATTCGAAAGAAGAGGATATCCAGTCTTATTAATCCAGATAAATAAGACTGGATTAACAGCAGTTAAAATCTATTTTAAGACTATTACTTGCTGTGTGCCATAGAATAATGTAAATTTATTTATTGTAAAGATAAAAAGTTATTTTTGTCTTTTAATGTATATTAGAAGACAAAAAGAAAGCTAGAAAAAATTTCAGAAAAAGAGAAAATGAAGGTATTTAAGATTACATTAGACACAGAAGCAGATGATAGATTTTGATATGAAATATAATAATAATTGATGAAATCTTAAAAACAGATATCAATAGTAAAGATTTAGAAAGAATAGAAATAACCAGGTAGAGGATGATTTAATGATTAATTTTGGAAGAGAGATAAGATTTGAATGTAAACAGAACACTTTTGATTCTTTAAAAATCTGTTTTGTCCTTAGAAATATTAGTGTCTTGATGATGGCTATTATAGATCAAAAGTACTAGTGCTTCATAGGGAAAGCTGGTTGATATAATGTGTGTTTTATAGTCTAGTAAAGTAATTTGAAGTTTGTAACAATGTTTTTTTACATAATTTTGCTAAAATTATGTAAAAAATTACAACTGGTCTGCAAGTAAACAACTGCATAGGATTTTCATACTTTTTCTTATAGATTTCAATTTGGTAAAAATGAAAAAAATACCAAAAAATTCCATTTTGTCAATTTTTTTTGTTACACTCAAGTTTTTGTTTGTATTTAGCATAAAATTCCTAGTTAACTTAAAATTTAGTATTTTTTTTTTATTTAAAAAATGGCCTTAAAACAAAGACTTCTCACNTTAGAAATATTAGTGTCTTGATGATGGCTATTATAGATCAAAAGTACTAGTGCTTCATAGGGAAAGCTGGTTGATATAATGTGTGTTTTATAGTCTAGTAAAGTAATTTGAAGTTTGTAACAATGTTTTTTTACATAATTTTGCTAAAATTATGTAAAAAATTACAACTGGTCTGCAAGTAAACAACTGCATAGGATTTTCATACTTTTTCTTATAGATTTCAATTTGGTAAAAATGAAAAAAATACCAAAAAATTCCATTTTGTCAATTTTTTTTGTTACACTCAAGTTTTTGTTTGTATTTAGCATAAAATTCCTAGTTAACTTAAAATTTAGTATTTTTTTTTTATTTAAAAAATGGCCTTAAAACAAAGACTTCTCACATTAATTCTATCAATTATAGCTGGACTTGGCAATAAATTAAAAAAAAATGTTAATGGTTGAAGAGAGTTGTGGTAGGGGGAGGTGGGTTAAGTAGTTTTAGCATTAGGAGGAAGGTTGCATGATTGTGTAGAAACAGATTAAAAGTTGATAGTGATTAATATTACTGGTGAGGTTGAGCATGTTTTGACATGTTATTTGGGATACTAAGAATAAATATAAACAATTTGCTGTTGGATTAGATAATGTTTCAACAAGCTAAATAAGTTCAGTATCTTGCTGGCCATCTAATGCCACACTCAATTTATATCCAGCATTTGAACGCTACTATGCTTGTATTTTTATTTCTGGAATATTGCTCGCAGAGATTGTGTAATTTCTCCCGACAGCTTCTGTTATGTTTGTGGTGAATACACAGTGAAAAGTCAACATCCCCATTATCTGATCCCCTCTTTTTGGAAACAATGGGAGAAAAGGAAAAAGAAGTATGGGACTCTTTCAAGAATGTAGTGCATAAGTTTTTGGGGAATACTAAGGACCCTGACTACAAAACCATTGTACAACACATGCTGGCAGTGTATGAAGCTCAAGGATGCAAAATGAGCTTAAAAGTTCATTTCTTACACTCCCATATTGACTATTTTCATGAAAACTTCATAGACTACAGTGAAGAACAGGGTAAAAGATTTCACCAGGATGTCCATAATATTGAGAGACATTACCAAGGATAATGGGATGTCAATATGTTAGCTGACTACTGTTGAATGCGCTATTGAGAAACCAGAGAAGGAAATTGGAAACGAGTTTGGAGAAGCATCAAAGAGAAAAAGAAAAGGTGTCGTAAGAAAAAAGAGTAGACCTAAAATTGTGTATAAATATCAGAAACAATTTTTTGATTAGTTGTAAGAAAATATAATAAATTTAGTTCATTGTAATAAAAAAACGTTTTTATCAAATATTTGTTTTTATTTTGCAAAAAACTATGTTATGGGACGTTATGGAAGTCATTTTTATAATCTCCAATCTCTAAAACATAAAATTCAGCAAAAATATCCCATGCAGCTGGAAAAAAATTTTTTTTTCAGACCTGTGTTATTTATTAATTTTTGTGTAATAATTGCAAATGTTTTATTTTCACTTATATTTTGTTCTACAGCAGCGCTGTCCAACTTATCATAGTCCGCGGGCCATGTTTTCTTCACCAAACATTTCGGGGTCCAAGAAGATTGGTGATGGCTAATTGGTCGGCCGGGAATCACTCCACATGACATTTGCATAGTGCTACGGTTCGTAAGCACTAATTGGTCAGCGAGTTCGATGTTGACGCTATAAAAAGGCGACAGTTCGACACACCGGATATACGTCACTCTCGTCTAAGTTCGACTTGGGAATTTTTTTGTTCAATAATAAATGTGAATTCTTCTTCCTGGAAAAAATAAGACATTCCCTGAAAATAAGACCTAGCGCATTTTTCAGAGCAAAAATTAATATAAGACACTGTCTTATTTTCGGGGAAACACGGTAGTAAAATAATTTTAATATTAATAATAATAATTTAGTAACATAAATTTATTCATAGTAAAATGTACTCGCGGGCCGTAAAAATTATTTGGCGGGCCGTATACGGCCCGTGGGCCGCCAGTTGGACAGCGCTGTTCTACAGGATAGATGGAAAGTAACTAGGCATTAAGAAATGCTATAATTTCTATATTCTAATGCAAAGGTAATGAAATTAAGATTTGACATATAATTTATTAACCTTATTGAATTTTAAGGTATGGATGCATACGTACCTTAAAATTCAACATAGGCACTGCTGCCATTCATCAATGACATATTTTCCTCAGATTATGATGTTGATGGATAGTCACTTTTCTATCCATCTGCAACCAAATCTTTGGTCATTTTAGCTTAGAATGAGAATTCTGGATTGTTTTCAGATGAATTGTGGCATGATGTCCTTTCATTGTATGTCACCATCTGTGAATAACAACCACTGACTACCACACTTCATAACATGCAGCAATCTGCACTTGCTTACTTATCTGTTCAGAGAGCAAGTGCAGATTGCTGTCTTTTTTTTGCCACTGTGTGTGCAGCTGCTCTCAGTCATTGCACTTACCACTGATGACAGAATTATAAAATTTCATTCATTGATGTACTACATGCACACAGTTTTATTATGATTGCATTACTGTATTACAAAAATTACAATGATCTCTCAATGCCTAGTTACTTTCCACCCATCTCTATATGATAATCCTGAATAGAGTAATGATCATTATTAGTGATATATTAACAATCATTATTACACAATGAAATTATGCTAATTGAAGAACTAAATATATTTATTCTATTTTTTCATTTACACTAGATTTTGTTAAAAATTTAAACTAATTATATTTCATCTATAAATTCTGAAGAAAATTCAACATATTAGTTATTAATATGTTAAATTTAAAATTACATTAAACATTAATTTTAATTCATATCTAATGCAGGTTTTAAATGTTAAAAAATGTTTTTTTATGCTAAATTTGTATTGAAATATTGGTTTGTAATAATCTTTTTTCCAGAAATTTACTAAATTGTTTTAAGGATTAATTCAACTTAATATAGTTATGAAAATATTTTGAATGTTGAAAAATTTCACTCTAATCTTTACAAAGAATTTAATTTTATAATCTGATAAGCTTTTTTATATTTAGTTTTTCATTTATTTCATAAATATTTTGTTTTAATTTTATAAATTAAAAATATAATTATTAAATTTTATTATTTAGAATTATGGATCATGGCAGCCAAGTGGGAAATGGAGGAAAACAATGCAGCAGATAATTCAAGAGCACTATTTCAAAGAGGCATACGCTTTCATCCAGAATCAAAATTATTGTGGAATGAGGTGATTTGATTTTATCTGTAGTAAATTTGAAATACAGGGTGGACCAAAAAGAATATATGTATTTCAAACTGATATATTTAATAAACTGTAAGACATACAACTATGGAACTTGGGACACATATTTATGAAACTCTCTAGTTTAGATTACAGGTGTTCAATATGTCCTCCACCAGCGACACGAACGGTCCGGGCGGGAGTTCCGTCCGGGTGTCCGGGAACCGGGGTCCGGGCGTGAGTTCGGTCCGGACTTCATAACTAACCTGCGTCTCAAAACACGCCAAACTGTTGTTTTAGGCAGCTGCAATTCCCGACTGGCACGACGTGTTGATTTTGAAGGGCTACGTTGGTAAGCAGCTTGAATCCGTGCGACATTTTCTTCAGATACACGAGGTCGGCCAGGACTCTTTCCTTTACATACACAACCTGTGTCAACAAACTGACGGTACNCCTTTGACTTTGGTTTTCGTTAGTTTAATCTTATTTTAACTTTAAAAATATTATATTTTTTAATATTTAATATTTTCAACAAGAAAAATTATCAATTAATAATAAAATGATTTTATTATTTTTCCTCATAATACGATTTCATTACATAAAAGGAAGGTTGTCTGTAAAACTGATTTTTGTATTAATGCATTTATTGTTTTTTGAGTATTTTGTGTGCAAAAATTACTTGGATATTATTTTTCTAAAAATATTGTGGAAATAAGGTAGGTTGATACAGAAACTATTTATTGCACATATACTGTATATGAGCTTAAAAATAAATAAATAAAACAAATTTTATCAAACGATGAGATCAGTTGATTAATTATATTGTGTACAATATTTTATACCACTAAGGAAAATACTGTAGATTTATAGTACAATAAATTGCATTTACCCACAGTTAAACTTTGCTGCTAATTGCTGTTGTGATAAACCATTTTCCCTTTCTCTGATAACTTTAACATGATCTTCTAAAGACAACACTTCACATTTCTTTTATTTTTTGGACATTTTTGAGCAAACTGAAACAAGTTTCCTTTGTAGCTAGACTAATTCGTTTCCTTTGTAGCTAGACCTAATTTCAAGAGTGAGAGAAGTGCCGGAGGTGGGTTCGAACAATAGTTTAGACCAGATATATTTGTGGAAGTGGTTGCTTATTATAGTTGTATGTTGTTTCGGACCAAAAATTGGTGCTCGCAGTCATGTTACACAGGTGGTTGTTTAATACAGGTAACTTATACGAAGACAATATATATAAACTATTCCATGCCAGAAATTTTTGCCCATTTTGACAGGTGCCCATTGAATGCAGGTGGTCGCCTAAGCAGTTTTTACTGTATATACTTTACTGTACATGGATTACACAAGATTTGTTAATGAATAATAGAAAATAATTGATTTTTTTCTTTTTTTTTCAAACCATGTGGATTTATGGTTGAGGATTAATAACAGAATTTTAATAATGCTTTTAATTTTAATAATTCTGCAGTTATAAAAAATATATAACTGTTAATTAGAAAAAATAACTAATTAAAGTGTTGGAGAAGCAAAACATGTGCACAGTAAGTCAAACATTGTTTTATTTTGTCAATGTGCTATAGTGTATGGGACATAAGGGTCAGGAAATTTGTAGAAAGCTGGTCAGGGAAAGGCATGGAAATTAAAACAAAAATTTGAGTAGGAACCCTATTTATAGTATATAATATAGTATTATAAAAATTTGCTACATATACCAGAAGGATGAGTAAAACATCTGGATGTAATTAAATTATTACAGAAATATGAAATATCAGAAAATTTCTTATAAATGTAAATGGTTGTTGTTGTAAAGTATTTTTAACATTTAGTTTATATCGCATGTACTATTAAAATCATTATTAGAGCAGCAATAATATTGAGGTTATAGATGTCAGTGATATATTTGTTTATTATAATTGTTTTGCATTTATATACTGTATATATAAATGTTTTCTTTTTGGCTTCACAAAATAAAGCGAAAAATAATAATTTATGATGTATAATTTTTTATCAGTGCAGATTAGTCATTGATTTATTAAAATTTGCAGACAGATTAATGAATATAAATGATAAAAAATAAAAAAATTAATTAATTAATTTGCAATAAATAATGGCTATGATTTTATGCATTAGTATATGGTTATTATTTATTTATTTTTTGAAAAATGAAATATGGTAAATGCTTACATAAATAAAGATATATTAGTAAATACATAGAAAAAAATGTAAGAAACTTTCTTTTAACATTTATTAATAATTTCCTTAAAAATGGAGTGAGATTGACTGCAAATAAAACTGGTTTAATTAACCAACTTGTTTTGTTATATATTCTGAACAAAAGTACATAAATAAAAAATTAAAACATCTTATATTCTGTTGATATTACCAATTCTAATGTTGAAAATAGCTAATTTGCTAATCATTCATTGTTAAATATTTTATTAAGTTTGATTATGGATAAAGTTGGATTTAAATTTTGATGGATACTATCTAATAGATATTAATCAATATTTATTAATAATTATAAATGAGTTTAAGTTTTTTCATATAATTAAAAGAGTATTTTAAAAGTGTGCTTAGAAAAGAATTTTTTATTTCAATTATATATAAACATGTGTTTTCTGTTTTACTTACTATAGCTTAGGAAGAAACAAGAACCAGATATATATACTCAGGTACTTTTATGTAGTCTGCTTATTTTTTTTAATATAAAATAATAACAACATTTTATTTATAGTTATTTTATTTATAAATAAATTTAAACTATATTTTAATGTGCAGAACGAAGAAGAAAATATATTAAATGGCAAAATTGCTAAAATTATTTACTCTAATGCAATTGAAACAATTCCAGGTATGGATTAAATGATTACATTATATTAATTTACTTAAAATATAATTTTAATTTAAAACCTAAACACATTAAAAATAAATTTTATTTGGTATACTAAGATATACATTTATGTTTAAACAGATAAATTGAAAATTATTAGTTTAATTATATTGAAATCATTATAGACTCATTATAAAATTTTACAGATGTAAATTTTGCAATATCTTTTATTCCTATTTGTGGATCTTTTGAATTTACAAAACCTATAGAAGAACAAATTTATGAAGAGTATGTATTAACTTTTTTATTCTGTTAATAGAATTTGTTTTGTTAAAAATACTGTAAAATATAAGTAACTTATAATCTGATGTAAACTAAGACTGCTCACTTAATTTTCAGAAATTGAAGTTCATTGAAATAGATTTTATAGGAAATTTCCATAATACTTTTCAAATTAAGTTTTTTGTTTCATATGATTCAATATTGACTAAAATTTCATGTATTATTTTGCAATGGATTAAATAAAAATGTTATATATAACAGATAAAGTAGTATCTATGCCATTATATATAACTTCTTATATATAAATTTAATAAAATTAAGTTAAAACTATGAGTTTATATCTTAAAAATAAGAAGGAAATAATTATTTTTAAAGAATAAAATAAATCAATACATTAGAATCCTTCTCGTGGAAGGATTCTAATGTATTGCGAGGTATTGGATTGTTAGTATACTATTCATATTTTAAAGAAGTGATGTAATGCAAACACTTCAAGTGCTCTTTAAACTTGTACGATAATTTTAAGGTGAATTGATGAGAAACAATTGTTGGTGTTTAGATGTATTGGTAGCCCACACACAAATTTTATTTTTAAGACACTGAGGAGGGGTTGTATGTACCAACCTGAAATGCATATGTCATTTTTTAAAGAATAAAAGTGAGTTCCTAACTAAAAGTTTTGCTGTGAGTCTGTCTACCAGAAATTTTTGGATTACAGAGACGAATTATATACATATACGTCATTAATCTGCTTTATCGTAAATAGCGCAATAACATTATTGATTATTATCTTGCACTTTGTTTGCAAACATCTGAATTTATTGTTGAAAAGTTTTGGCAGTTGTGCTGTCCATGGACTTAAAACTTTGGTTATGCACTGATGTGTGATAAGCAAAGGTTGCCGCTATGCTGCCAGTGATAACTGTTTATCCATTTCACTTCAGATTTTCACATTTAAGAAATTACTTATATTGCTGCTGGAAACCTTACTTTGAACAGCGCTTTTATGTTTTTTCATTTTTATGTGACTGACCAATCACCATGTGAAATGGAAAATTTAGAGTTAAAAACTGTACATTGCATATTTTCATCTATACCATTTAATAAAGGAAAATTCTCTTCTAATATTATTATTTATACTGCACTTACGTTTTGGCATTATGCAGATGAAAAATGATAAAAAATTATAACAATCTATGAATCCTCTACAAGTAGTATGAGATGCTCAAACTGTCACATGTGAATTGTCTGTCCGATCAGAATGCTAGACAGGGTTGCCAGATAGAAACAGAAGTAAATTACAAAACTCACCAGTGCATTGATTTATAGTCTATATTCATTCTGTAACACTATCCTAACTCCTTATATCATATTGTGTCTATATACATATTTTGTTATTTCCTGTAAAAAGCAGGACATTTGGGAAAAAATTGGGACTGACCCAGGAAAAATGGGACAAATGGGAATGCTATAATAGATGGTACTGACATGAATACATCTTTTGGAAAAGATGGAAATGAGACTGTGTTAGAGACCAGTCTTTCTGGAACCTGCATACTGTGCGGATTTGGGAGTTATGGATCAGAGTCCTGTTCTGGGCTGATTATTTTCTTTCAGAATATTTTAAATTATTTATTAATTATTAATTTAATAATTATAATTATTAAATTTAATAAGAGATGGAGCCTAATGCCTACCTCTAGTACCAAATTATTTAGAATTTAATTAAAAATAATAGTGGTAAAGTAGCTCGATTCAATCTTGCAATCGTTTGGTATATTACTAAAGTATTGGGTTTCAGGATGTTTATTTAAGTAATGGTAACTTATGAGAATGAATATGGAATAATACTCTCAGATATCTGTTGCAATTAGATAGTAAATTTGATTATTTCCACCAATTTTTAGTTTTGAATATTTGTGCTTTTTAAAATAATTTCAAAAATTGACTTCCCTGCAGGCTATATAAAAATTTTCTGGCTGTATACTGGACACTAATTACTGTTCTAGACAAACAATTTAGTAAAAACTTAACAACTACGAAATATATAATTTTTATTTAATAAAAACCATTATATAAAAAGAAAAAGATTAATTACATTACACTTAATTTTCAATGAATAATTGTTAGATGTTTCTAAATAATTAAATTAAATTGTCTTGTTATTAAAATTAATAAGTTAATAGATGGTAGCACAGCATTCATCAATAACAAATTCTCTTAAATTATAATTCATATATAATTTATTTAAAAATGTGAAATCAAATCATTTGCATTATTATACAATGTATTATTAGAATAAAACATAAAAATAATGTACATTGTTTGAGAAATTAACATTTGTAGCTTTAATAAATCAAATTAGAACAGTTAATATAGTATAAATCTCTTCCTATAAAATTTAGATTATGATGATGTTTAATTTAAAACATTTTTTTTATTGTATTGGAATAATATATATAATAATTAAAAATTAATTGATGAATACACATTTTAAAGTTATATGATACTAAAAAAAACTTTAAATTTCTTAAGTATACAAGAAAGGTACAGTGATAAAGAAGAAACATGGAATGCATTAGCAAACAGAGGATTAAGGAAACTTGAAGTTGAATGGAAGCGTGCTGAAACTCCCAGTAAGTTTCCAAAAATATTATTTTTTTTTTTCTTCAAAACTATATATATTATATTTTTTCTTTGTATTTCTAATTTAGAATATATTTCAGAAATAAAATGAATTGTTAATTTCATGAAAAATGGGAAAATGTTTGTTTTATAAAAAAGTTTTTTCTTGTAGTTACTTATCAAAGACTTCTATATTCAAATGATACAAACAGATTAACTATCAGGCTAGAACTTGGTTAATTAACTGAATAAATGTTAGATAATTTGGACTACATTTATATACATTTGGACACAGGTAGACAGTTAAACTGTCATCTTGTATTAAATTTATTAATTAGAAAGAAAGAAAGAAATTTAGACTAATCTGAAAGAAAAGATTGATCTACTTTGGGCTCAAACTGACAACTTCTACTTATTTTGATTATTTTGTTATTACTACAATTTAGACTTGGTTTTCTATGATTAGATTGATTTATATTTTCTCTGATGTACAACAATCAATTAAATCTTAAAAGTCAATAATAATGTATGGTTATATGAATCAGAATCTTTATATATCATTAACATAGTTAGTTGTCATAAATGGAATCAACAAAATATTTGATTTGAATTTTGATTGATAATGTGTAGTTTGAGTAAAATGGAATAGATGTTTTTATTTGCAATTTAGATTTATTTGAATAAAATAATAAACAATACAAAATGTATACAAGTTTTTCAATTGAGCATTATTATGATTGTAACAAACAATAAATAAATCAGTTATTTGCTGTTTAAAAATTATAATATTAATGTGCATTTTTCTTTTTGACAACATTCTGCTGCTATTTTATAATCATAATATCCCAATGCTTATTGGGTAAAACAGCATCAGTTAAACAAAGATTACATAACCAAACAGATCTGCTGGATTTTTATTGGACTATTTTAAATTAAATTAATAATTATCAAACAAAGTAATATGTTTGAATGTAAGCAATTGGCCACCATATTATATGACTTCACAAATTACATGTAAAACAAATTTAATATGTTGAATATATTGCTGCCAGATAAAGGTGAATATAGTAGAATACAGAAATCTTTTGCTGTTTATAAAGTTGTAATAATGTGTAATTAATTTGATACACTTCTAAGTTATTAATTAATGTGGAAATTTTAAACATGTTTATATATAAGCTTTGAATTTANTATAATTCATATATAATTTATTTAAAAATGTGAAATCAAATCATTTGCATTATTATACAATGTATTATTAGAATAAAACATAAAAATAATGTACATTGTTTGAGAAATTAACATTTGTAGCTTTAATAAATCAAATTAGAACAGTTAATATAGTATAAATCTCTTCCTATAAAATTTAGATTATGATGATGTTTAATTTAAAACATTTTTTTTATTGTATTGGAATAATATATATAATAATTAAAAATTAATTGATGAATACACATTTTAAAGTTATATGATACTAAAAAAAACTTTAAATTTCTTAAGTATACAAGAAAGGTACAGTGATAAAGAAGAAACATGGAATGCATTAGCAAACAGAGGATTAAGGAAACTTGAAGTTGAATGGAAGCGTGCTGAAACTCCCAGTAAGTTTCCAAAAATATTATTTTTTTTTTTCTTCAAAACTATATATATTATATTTTTTCTTTGTATTTCTAATTTAGAATATATTTCAGAAATAAAATGAATTGTTAATTTCATGAAAAATGGGAAAATGTTTGTTTTATAAAAAAGTTTTTTCTTGTAGTTACTTATCAAAGACTTCTATATTCAAATGATACAAACAGATTAACTATCAGGCTAGAACTTGGTTAATTAACTGAATAAATGTTAGATAATTTGGACTACATTTATATACATTTGGACACAGGTAGACAGTTAAACTGTCATCTTGTATTAAATTTATTAATTAGAAAGAAAGAAAGAAATTTAGACTAATCTGAAAGAAAAGATTGATCTACTTTGGGCTCAAACTGACAACTTCTACTTATTTTGATTATTTTGTTATTACTACAATTTAGACTTGGTTTTCTATGATTAGATTGATTTATATTTTCTCTGATGTACAACAATCAATTAAATCTTAAAAGTCAATAATAATGTATGGTTATATGAATCAGAATCTTTATATATCATTAACATAGTTAGTTGTCATAAATGGAATCAACAAAATATTTGATTTGAATTTTGATTGATAATGTGTAGTTTGAGTAAAATGGAATAGATGTTTTTATTTGCAATTTAGATTTATTTGAATAAAATAATAAACAATACAAAATGTATACAAGTTTTTCAATTGAGCATTATTATGATTGTAACAAACAATAAATAAATCAGTTATTTGCTGTTTAAAAATTATAATATTAATGTGCATTTTTCTTTTTGACAACATTCTGCTGCTATTTTATAATCATAATATCCCAATGCTTATTGGGTAAAACAGCATCAGTTAAACAAAGATTACATAACCAAACAGATCTGCTGGATTTTTATTGGACTATTTTAAATTAAATTAATAATTATCAAACAAAGTAATATGTTTGAATGTAAGCAATTGGCCACCATATTATATGACTTCACAAATTACATGTAAAACAAATTTAATATGTTGAATATATTGCTGCCAGATAAAGGTGAATATAGTAGAATACAGAAATCTTTTGCTGTTTATAAAGTTGTAATAATGTGTAATTAATTTGATACACTTCTAAGTTATTAATTAATGTGGAAATTTTAAACATGTTTATATATAAGCTTTGAATTTACATTTGGAAAAATTTTAAATTAAATGTTTTTTTAAAAAAGTTTTTTTTGGGTTCATGACTGATAATAGAATTAGCAGGTTGGACACCAAAATGTAAATTACAAGCATGGAAATATGTATTTTTTATATATAAATAGATCAAATAAAATTGGAAGAATATTATGTAATATACTATAAATTTTTAAACAAAATATAAATATAACAAACAAAATTTATTCTTCAAAAGTAGTAATTGTTAATTAAGGATTACTAATTATTTGGGATAATTTTATTATTATAAAGTGACATTTTAATGAAGAAATGTAAATATGATATTAATATCATATTTTAAATTAATAATAATATAGTTATTCAAAAATAATAATTTATTACTATTAATTGAAATGTTGCAACTTAACATATAAGTTTTAGTTACAGTGACGACCCGAATTCTTTTAGATTTATTGATTAGTATCGAAATTAATGAATGAATTATTGAAATATCATAAATTGATTAAAGTAAAATGTATTTATTAATGATTTTAATTATATTTTATCTTCTAAATTGACTTTTAGAAAGTTTTTGCTGTGCTTTTATTAATTGCTGCAATGTATAACTCTGTTGAACAAGTAATTTCCCAGAAGCTTTAAATAGTTTGCTTTACACTGTTTAAGGCATTTGACTGAAAATATTCAATTTTTGTGTTAATTGAAATAGAAAAGATGATAAATGATTAGCAATTTATTATTTGTAGATATATCATTTTAAATAAATGCTTACATGAAACTGTAAACAGTAAAACTTTAGTACTTAAAAGAATTATGATAGTTTGTGCAGATTAAATAAAGTGTGTTTACTATTATTGTTTTCATTGTTCTTTTTTACTGTTTAAAGAAATAATTTTTAATGATACAATAGCCACAATTATTATTTTTAAAAAATTCTAATTTTAATAATTATACTCTATTGTAATAATTTTTCTATAATCTGTCACTTGCCAGTCCAACACTTCACAGGGTAGTGCACANAAATTTGATTATTTCCACCAATTTTTAGTTTTGAATATTTGTGCTTTTTAAAATAATTTCAAAAATTGACTTCCCTGCAGGCTATATAAAAATTTTCTGGCTGTATACTGGACACTAATTACTGTTCTAGACAAACAATTTAGTAAAAACTTAACAACTACGAAATATATAATTTTTATTTAATAAAAACCATTATATAAAAAGAAAAAGATTAATTACATTACACTTAATTTTCAATGAATAATTGTTAGATGTTTCTAAATAATTAAATTAAATTGTCTTGTTATTAAAATTAATAAGTTAATAGATGGTAGCACAGCATTCATCAATAACAAATTCTCTTAAATTATAATTCATATATAATTTATTTAAAAATGTGAAATCAAATCATTTGCATTATTATACAATGTATTATTAGAATAAAACATAAAAATAATGTACATTGTTTGAGAAATTAACATTTGTAGCTTTAATAAATCAAATTAGAACAGTTAATATAGTATAAATCTCTTCCTATAAAATTTAGATTATGATGATGTTTAATTTAAAACATTTTTTTTATTGTATTGGAATAATATATATAATAATTAAAAATTAATTGATGAATACACATTTTAAAGTTATATGATACTAAAAAAAACTTTAAATTTCTTAAGTATACAAGAAAGGTACAGTGATAAAGAAGAAACATGGAATGCATTAGCAAACAGAGGATTAAGGAAACTTGAAGTTGAATGGAAGCGTGCTGAAACTCCCAGTAAGTTTCCAAAAATATTATTTTTTTTTTTCTTCAAAACTATATATATTATATTTTTTCTTTGTATTTCTAATTTAGAATATATTTCAGAAATAAAATGAATTGTTAATTTCATGAAAAATGGGAAAATGTTTGTTTTATAAAAAAGTTTTTTCTTGTAGTTACTTATCAAAGACTTCTATATTCAAATGATACAAACAGATTAACTATCAGGCTAGAACTTGGTTAATTAACTGAATAAATGTTAGATAATTTGGACTACATTTATATACATTTGGACACAGGTAGACAGTTAAACTGTCATCTTGTATTAAATTTATTAATTAGAAAGAAAGAAAGAAATTTAGACTAATCTGAAAGAAAAGATTGATCTACTTTGGGCTCAAACTGACAACTTCTACTTATTTTGATTATTTTGTTATTACTACAATTTAGACTTGGTTTTCTATGATTAGATTGATTTATATTTTCTCTGATGTACAACAATCAATTAAATCTTAAAAGTCAATAATAATGTATGGTTATATGAATCAGAATCTTTATATATCATTAACATAGTTAGTTGTCATAAATGGAATCAACAAAATATTTGATTTGAATTTTGATTGATAATGTGTAGTTTGAGTAAAATGGAATAGATGTTTTTATTTGCAATTTAGATTTATTTGAATAAAATAATAAACAATACAAAATGTATACAAGTTTTTCAATTGAGCATTATTATGATTGTAACAAACAATAAATAAATCAGTTATTTGCTGTTTAAAAATTATAATATTAATGTGCATTTTTCTTTTTGACAACATTCTGCTGCTATTTTATAATCATAATATCCCAATGCTTATTGGGTAAAACAGCATCAGTTAAACAAAGATTACATAACCAAACAGATCTGCTGGATTTTTATTGGACTATTTTAAATTAAATTAATAATTATCAAACAAAGTAATATGTTTGAATGTAAGCAATTGGCCACCATATTATATGACTTCACAAATTACATGTAAAACAAATTTAATATGTTGAATATATTGCTGCCAGATAAAGGTGAATATAGTAGAATACAGAAATCTTTTGCTGTTTATAAAGTTGTAATAATGTGTAATTAATTTGATACACTTCTAAGTTATTAATTAATGTGGAAATTTTAAACATGTTTATATATAAGCTTTGAATTTACATTTGGAAAAATTTTAAATTAAATGTTTTTTTAAAAAAGTTTTTTTTGGGTTCATGACTGATAATAGAATTAGCAGGTTGGACACCAAAATGTAAATTACAAGCATGGAAATATGTATTTTTTATATATAAATAGATCAAATAAAATTGGAAGAATATTATGTAATATACTATAAATTTTTAAACAAAATATAAATATAACAAACAAAATTTATTCTTCAAAAGTAGTAATTGTTAATTAAGGATTACTAATTATTTGGGATAATTTTATTATTATAAAGTGACATTTTAATGAAGAAATGTAAATATGATATTAATATCATATTTTAAATTAATAATAATATAGTTATTCAAAAATAATAATTTATTACTATTAATTGAAATGTTGCAACTTAACATATAAGTTTTAGTTACAGTGACGACCCGAATTCTTTTAGATTTATTGATTAGTATCGAAATTAATGAATGAATTATTGAAATATCATAAATTGATTAAAGTAAAATGTATTTATTAATGATTTTAATTATATTTTATCTTCTAAATTGACTTTTAGAAAGTTTTTGCTGTGCTTTTATTAATTGCTGCAATGTATAACTCTGTTGAACAAGTAATTTCCCAGAAGCTTTAAATAGTTTGCTTTACACTGTTTAAGGCATTTGACTGAAAATATTCAATTTTTGTGTTAATTGAAATAGAAAAGATGATAAATGATTAGCAATTTATTATTTGTAGATATATCATTTTAAATAAATGCTTACATGAAACTGTAAACAGTAAAACTTTAGTACTTAAAAGAATTATGATAGTTTGTGCAGATTAAATAAAGTGTGTTTACTATTATTGTTTTCATTGTTCTTTTTTACTGTTTAAAGAAATAATTTTTATAATTATTTGTTTTATAAAAAAGATACACCAGATGAAATGATAGCTGACATAAAGAAACAAGTTTTTAATATTTATGAAGAAAGATTACAAACTAATCCTACAGGTACCATTATTTTTATTTATTTTTATAATTAAGATATATTATTTAATAATTTGTTTACATTTATTGAAGTTATTAATTGATAAAGAAACTTGTTATAGTACACTACTGAAAATAAAACTTTTAAATTATCAGATTTATTTAATAAAACTAAAATTTTTTCACTGCTTTGGCATCTTCAGGTTTGAAAACAAAGATATAAAATATAAATACTATATTACATAATGTGTAACATTTAAAAACAAGTGTGCACAACATTTAATGTATGTTTCTGAAGATGACTGATTAAAGCAGTTGAAAATATTTATTTAAAAAATACATCTGGTGGTTTGAAAAGCTTATTTTCAATAGTGCAATGAATAAATTAAAGATCTATGAATTAAAATTGTCTTCTGAGTGGTTCTGACCTGTGGTGAATGTCGGATTGGAAGGACATAAATTTGTTTATTTGCCTACAAACCCTTTTTTGATAGTTAAATAAAATTTGTTCTCTTATTTTTATAACAGCTTAAATTGTCTTTCATGATAAAGATTTTTTCGGAAAAGTTATTTATTTAGTTTTAAAGAAAAAATATTTATTTTAATTTTTAGATTATTGAAGTAGTAATGTTTTAATATTACAGTTAGTAAGTTTCATAGCTTTGTTAAATGAATAAGTTTTCAAGTATTTAAATACTGTCAAGTACATTTAATTTCTTATTGTAGCTGATGATGCATATTCTCTAGGATTTATATGGTTTAATAAGGATTTATATGGTTCACTTATTTGTATTTTTATTTTAAATTTTATTATTCATATACTCAGTATTTTATTTAATATATAATTGTTCTAAAATATATATTTGAGGTGGAGTGTTAGCAGAGCCTCTTCTATGAGGCTTACAGAATTGTGTTTGTGCTCAAAATCTGTTTGATTTTGATTAAACTTTGTCATTTTTCATTAATTGTGACAAGGGATCCAAAAATGTAATAAAAAATGGGTGTCCATGACTTCATTTTTGAGATATAAAGTCATTTTATGAGCGTGCACAACAAAGCAATATCATGCAAATTGCATGACTGTCGTGTGATGTTTCATGGTTGCTAGCACATCTTCTATGGACTTCGCTATAGAGTTGAGTTTGTTCTCAAAATTTATTGGACTGATTTTGATAAAACTTTGCCATTTTCCATTAATTGAGATGAGGAATCCAAAATTGTAATGAGGATCCATTTTAAATGTAAAGAATAGGAATTGAGGAATTTTTGATATACAGAGGGATTTGTACTGAAAATGTTTGTGCTCTCTGATGTGAGTGGGCATACCAAATGGAATTTAGTCCTAGGAGTCAAAAATAAAAATAGCATTGCGTGTGCCTATCGGAAAATAGGCAC